GAAAATGGAATGGGGAATATAAAATATCTTAAGATTTTGTAATATACTGCATGATATTAAAGGAAAAGGATATGAGATATTGCCTGTGCTGTCTTTCACATCAATGTTGTGTTCTTTGAACCAGATAAGAGTGATGAATATTCTGAAAACTGTCGTCACTAGTCCGATCCATCCAGCAATGTTGAAAATGTCAATATTCACAAACGAATAATGTAGTCCTTTGCCAAGCAGGGGTACGGCTACAGCTTGCAAAGCTGAAAAATGAAAAAGTTCGAAATTAGCTTTCTCCCCTCTATGGGGCTGAGGCTGTTTAAATCGAAAGCTCCTAATTCAATCTTCAATATAAATATATAATAATAATTCAATATATATATCCCGTATCTCGAATGAAAACTAAGATCCCTGTCAAATTGCAGTAATAGCATCTTTGTTGTTCAAGTGAAATTTTTTATTATATTAGTAGCATAAACCATGCCCTAATAGATGTTGTTCAAAAGTATTCAGGAGTTTGGTCTCCGTTGATTCGATAAAGGCATATATGAGTCTTTATTTGATTCCTTTACATATTAATTATGTATATGGCTTCGTTATTTTCTCAAAGCTCATCGCACTTCTCCTTTCTGTCTGCCATCAAGGGCTGCCGAAAGCATTAGGAGGCCCGAGGGGGAACACCCTTACGAATAGCTTAAATTCTTTCATTCATTTAAAAGGTTTTACTTCTTAATTGTTAGTTTGTTTCTTTTTATAAATTTCGTTTTAAAACGGAATCCGTGATTATGAGGTCCCCCTAGAACTCGAGGCCCAGGGCAATTTTCCCCTCTTGGCCCCCTTTTCGGCGGCCTTGCTGTCATCTCTTTTTCCCAGTGTCAGCTCACTTTTGAAAAGCAGCCCATCATCTTCCATATTCGAAGACAATTTGCTCTGCAAATGGTTAACATTGAATTCTTTGCTTCGCATTAAGAATGGGAGGAGTTGGTACAGTTCCACGAGCCTTGACTTCACCTGGTTTCTGTCCCCAAGCCTTGACTTCAGCTGATTTGTAATACTCTCAAGGAATGGAATAGCTGAACATCAACTTATTGTACCATCTTTACTGCTTTCTAATACCAGTCAGCGAATATTTCTCTACATTCGCTTGTTTCATACAAAGGTCCTCTACGAATCTTTCAATTATATGGGCCGTTGAAACAGACTGAAAAGATGTCTTGGTTTCTTTCTTCTGACTTTTTTACCAGAGGTCGTAGAGGCCCTTTTCCGTTCAAAGTCTTGTGCCTTTATTTTGGTTTTTGAGTCCCAGAACCATTCTTCTTCAAAGCCAGTGCGTAGTGCATCATAAAACACGCTGTAGAGTTGGGGCTTGAAGATAGACGCTATTACTGCAACATGATGACGTATGACCAAACAAGTGCGTGAAATGTCAGACTAAATCATTTATATTATTTCTGCGAGGTCCATTACATCTGCTAGGTCCATTACATGTGTCATTTGTGACCATTCTTTTTAGCGTCATAACCAAAATATTAAAGCCTTTTTCTAATGAAAATACCCCTTTTTCCTTTTTGAGAAAAATGATAGGGGTCTAGACCCCCCAAGACCGTCTGTAGCTGTTTTGCTCGAGAGAAGTGTCAAGGGCCTATTTGCTGACACGTTTGAAAAATTTCCCATGAAGTTCCTCAGTAACTACTTTTGACGGCGTTTCAACTAGTTGATGGCGAAAAACTTAGATGGCGAAAAACTAATTTTTCTGAAAATGCAAAACTTTTTTTCATACGGTAATGTCACACATTTCACAAAAAATGCGTTTATGCTTGGCAAAAAAAGCATTCAGCTTTTGGCATAAATTATCTTTCGTGAACTATCTTCATTATTTGGGCTAATATCGAAGAAATCTCCAACAAAGCAAAAAGTAATAATTGTGGTCAAGCTTAAAGCATTGAAAAGAAAAAAATTCGACATAAAAAGGTCTTTTGCATCACACTCAATAGACAGCTTCTTGGTTGGTCCATTATTTTCTTAACGACTTATTATAAATTCCATAAATATTTTAACTTGAGAAAGAGATTTTTGTGTGCTAAAAAGGCATGTAATTTGTAATAAGTGATTTTAACCACCCCTTACCATAGAAATCTATTAATTTTTCCACGTTGGGGGGGGGGGGGCAATAGCCACCGAGTCTCTAAGAAAATTTACGCGACACGTGATCCTTAGACACTTCATCGTTGCGTGCAATGGACTTGACAGGATTAACAGATACGATTCAGTCTAATCTAACTTAGAGAATCTTCTTTGAAATAAATTTTCAAATTGGTAAGTTCAGCAAGAAACAGTCACAGAGAAATATGGTCTACCCACCTGGACCTAATGTAGCCCAAATTCTTCCAATACAACCAGGACTGTCAATGCATTGTTCTTCTCGTCTTTTGCAGTTGACTGAGATGCCACAGTGCGACAAACAGCTATATCTCCTGGAAAAATCAGTGTGATGTTTATCCAAACATCAGAAGGGGAAGAAGAGTGGGTAGGGGGGATGGTGGTTTAGAGCTGAATTTTTGTGACGCGTGGCTTTTCATTGAATACTGCTCAGTGATACACCAATACTAGTAGAGTTCTGACTTCACTAAAACCTATTTTTAGAATTTTTAGATTTTACCCACACAGCATGAAATATCACCATGAAATACTCATAAGTTCAACACCAGATATGAAAATTTAGTCAAATTTGTCTAACATCGGTTGAGATATTACCAATGAAAGATTTGAAACTTGCTAATGAATCACTGTTATTTTGGCTCTATTCATAAAATAATGAACAGAGACCAAAATACAGAGGTTTGATGAGGAAAGGGCCAATACACCTATGGCCATATCTCAGCCAATTCATAACTCATTTGACTGATTTTACACAGTTAGAAATATTTTATAATGCTCTTTTAGGCTATGGAATCAACGTTAAAAAATTCTCAAAGTAGATTGTTGTGACGTCATCAGTAAAGAACTGTATTTTTGGTTCGCATATGGATCAAAATAATGATAGTGCAAATTGCTACCCCACTTTAAGATGAAATCTCAGATTAGAGACTTGCAATACAAGTCATTTAACTACCAAATACAAGTAAAGTGAAGTAGCATTTTACCTGCTGAAAAACCAACAATGAGCCTTGCCAACAGAATCAACATTTTCCCAGCAAAACCAGGATAGTTTTCAGCACAAAGGTACAAGAAATTCCCAATAAAGCGAAGAGAAGCGCTTGCCAACAATGGCTCGATAGCTGGACGGTACCTGCACCAAGCACCAAACAAAATGGAACCAATAACCTGAAAAATGCTGTAACCGCTAACTACCAAACCCAGAAACTGAGCATTGACTTCTTGGTCAACCTACAAAATTGAAGCAGAATTTTATTTACATGCATTCAAATTTTTATGATACGTCGTACAATTTAAGTCCAAGTGGCGTGGTAGCAAGGGGGGGCAGGGGGCCATGGCCCCTCAATATGGGTGCAAATGGAGATAAGGGGTGCTAAAATTGTTTGCTTGTAATATTTGGCTAGAAACATCAAAATTGATCGTATACGGGTAGAAAACTTTGCTGTAACTGGCTATGAACAATCGAAGCACGTTTCGTTGCCATGGCCCAATCAACATTTGTGTCATATGTTTTCTTGTTTTCAAGATTTTACGTATGCCAAAAATGTTTTTTCTATAAGTTTGCACTTAGAACGCCAAAAAAACCTGAGTGTACGCCGAAGATCTTCGCGCCAAGGGGAACGTTTTGTTCAGTGGGTGGAAATTAAGACAAGAGGACGCCAAAATTGTTTGCTTGTAACATTTGGCTAGGACCATCAAAACTGATCGGTAGGTAGAACACTTCGCTGTTACTTGCTGTAAACAATCTAATAAAAGGTGTGAATGGAGTGTACGCCGAAGATCGTACATGGAATGCACCCTGGCAATCAATGCAGCACCTTCTTTTTATTCAAATCGATCGACTTGGCCACCCCATCCAGGGAAAACATAGCCATTCCCCCAGAGCTAAGTCCTGTATGCCACGTACTTCAATCCCCTGTACGTTACATCTTATGAAGTACGTCCTAGATTGAACATACATTCGTTGGCATATTCTGGGTGCCAGAGCTACAGAGAATGAAAGGATGATGAAGAACGGGGAAAGGAATTGCGAAGACGAGAGTATGGAAAGACGAGACTATGGAAACTACGTTCCCCTCCCATTCTCCTTTGCCCCGCTCTTCATCATTTGACTCTCTGTGGCTCTGACACCCAGGGTATCGTTGGCGTATCAAAGTACCTTTACCTTGTGAGAAGGGGGCGGCTGTTGCGAGAGTGTTGCGAAAGACATCAGCCCTATTGCAAAAGACTCTGGCACCCAATATAGAGAAAATATTACAACGACCAAATATTTTGATTTAATAAAGTCAAGCTAAGCTTGAAGACAAAGTATAAGTTAAAGCAGGCTGTTCACATTCAATTAGACCGCTTTGCAGTTATCTCTTTGATCAAATACAATAGGTTGTGGAAAAAATTTAGGAAGATTACCTTTTGCAGATAAGGCCAGATTGAAGGTAAAATGATTCCAAATTCTAAAAAAGCAGAAATGCAAATAAAACATTCGTACAAGGATAAGATGGACTATCTAATAGTATTGAGCCGTTTAGGATTATATTTTTTGTGAAGATGTGTCTAATTACACGCCCGCAAGAAATCTAAAAGGCAGGGACGTTTGAATCGGGGCACAAGCCCCCAAAATTTAGCAAACTTTTTAAAACATTTAGAAAATTTTCCTTATTTGAGAAGTTGGAACTGCGTAGTGCAACTTCAAATGATTCCAATGACACTGAATAGAAAGCAAATTGGAACGATTGATCAAAAAATAGGCAAATATTTTTTTTACTAATAGTTTTCAGGAAAATTTAGGAGAAGGGGAGAGGGTGATGAAAGAAAACTTTGAAAACTGTTGAGACGTTGCTTGAAATGAATTGGGTACATGCTTTGGTTGTTTTGAAAAGCTTCAAGAAGAACATTGATGTTGCTGATGACAGTATTGCAAGTAAATGTGTATCACATTGAACACCACCAAGTAATAAGAGGAAAAAGACGAAATAATTTCAGGCCGAAGTTTTCAAACAACTTTTTACAAGGACTTGGTGTACAACATGACATGGTGTACAACAACAATACTCCAACTTGTAATAAAATAATCAACTTGTAATCAATTCAATTTAATTTACCCATTGCAATAAGTGCCTGAGTTAAGTAAATGATTCTGATTGTCCTCCATCTTGATTTGTACTCTTCAGGCGTCTCATGTTGGTCATCATCTGTGGTTTCCTCTGCTACATTGTCCCTGCAATACACTAACGCGTATCATACCTGGTATCTCTTTATCTGCTACGTATCATACCGGGTATCTACTTTGTTTGCTACGTATCATACCGGGTGTCTACTTTGTTTGCTACGTATCATACCGGGTATCTACTTTATTTACTTTCCTTCTAGACTACATTGTTTTAGAAAGATTCGCCTGTACAAGGTCTGCGCCACAATTTTGAAAGTGGGGGGGGGGGCAAGGCTATAAAAACTAGGGGGCCAAGGCTTCCTACCCCTGTTACTGCAGCTCTAAAACTACCTTCTCCGCAAAAAGGTGGGGGGCCATGGTCATCCCGGCCCTCCTGTGGCGCAGGCCCTGCTGTAATTAGTCAGCGTGCGCAGTTTTGCGTAGCACAAAAAGGTGAAATGCGCCTGTGCAGCGTTAGATTTTCCCATAGATTTAGATTTTATTATCTCCATGGATTTTCCTCTCAGGTGAGCTATATAGAGTGCCGCAAGCTTTTTAACTAGCAGAAAATTTTCTCTAACTTGTTTCTGAAGTGAGTATCGAGTCAAAACAGTTTTATTTGAAAAGCTGTAGCATTTGCGTGTCTTTTATGTCCAAAATTGTATGAAAAGTCAAATCATTTGTTTTTCTTTACATGGCATGAATGAGAAAAAGTAAATCTATTTTACAGTTCTTAGGTTAGAAGAAATAAGAAACCAGAATCCTGATTTTTGTGAACCATAATTTAAAATTATTCATTTCGAAATATAAAATTACCTTGTTTCGTTAAGGAGCTTTTCCTTCTCCATACCCATGAAGTCTTTTCGAATTTAAAATTTTGTTCTCAGTTGATCTACAAGTGGAAGAAACAAACACTTAACCCTGAAAAATATACGAATTTTGTTTTTTTTAACATAATGAAAATGTTTTTTAATTATTCCAAAATCTTACTGATACATGCAGCTTTTTGGGGTGAGTAGCTGTGTTCAGGGGGCTTTCGCCCCTCTAGGGCAGCTAATTCGAAATCTATTGAAAAATATTTTGAAAGTTAACTAGCTGCAACGCAGGGAAGCCTGCACACGAAGAGAGCAGCAGGGGCACAGTGCCAAGAAAAGTTAAAAAATAGGAAAACGAAGAAAATGCTCAATTTTACGAGGGGCAAGGGGAGTCACCGTCCTGGCTGCCCCCCCCCCCTCCCCTAGCGCAGGCGCCCTTGCTTCAACATCTACGGAAAGCAAACGTTTTTTGCAGAAACTGAAATTGATCCTTACATACAAATTTTTTAATTTTTAAATTTACTTCCACTGCCGAAATTTCTTTGTAGGGAAAAATTCTTGATTGCTAATTGCAAAGTTGCTCCTTGAAAACCCTTGTTATTCTAAAATGAAGACAATCAAAGGACACATTCAGCAAACTTATTCAAAACATTAAATGTCAAAGTATGTCAAATATTAAAAGTATGTCAAAAAATCTCATAGTGCCATGCCAATGACAATAATTATCACGGCCTCTTTTAATTCAACATATTTTGTAAGAAAAACAATTCTACATCTCTTTTTCATTAGGCAGAGTACAATTGGCATCTCATCTTTGGAAGAGCAAATTTAAAATTAAATTGACAGTTGGAATAGACATTATAATAGAAGTGACTTCAAGTCCATTAAATCTGGGCCAAGGTTTATTTCTTTTTCAAAATGCGTAATAAATACAGAGTTTTGCTATTTGCATAACTTTTGATAGAAGCTGGCGCTAGAAAGTTTCATTGAAATTTACTGTCTTTTGAGGATATCTGAAGACAAAACTAGCTGCACTCTGTATTTTTATCGGGCCTATTTGTCATGATTCAAAATGTCAATGAGAAAAACGTAAGAATCTGACCCAGGACTTAGTTCTCCAGTCAGCACCGCGTGCCAATAGAAAAATTTCCACTGGAGGAGAGAAAACCAACTTCTTCTGTGAAAACTTTTAAATTTAATACTAATCGCTACTTTCATTGATTATTTTATCGCAAACTATGTATATGCATAAAAAGAAATACTGATGAATAATAAAGAAACAAAAATTGAAACTGAGACAATCGCTGCAGCGCAAGTTTGGAATTAACTTTGTAAATCTGCGTTCCTTTCCTACAATTTCGAACACTAATTTACTTCTTCCAAAAACAGTTACAGAAAACTTCGACATTCGCAAAAAGAAGCTGTTGATATTCTTTGCAGTAGTTTTGCAAGATTTTGGGCGTTGACTCGAATTTTAAAGTGCCTGTGACATGATTTTCGTACTTTTGGGTTTATATATCTATTCTTATGTAAAAAGGCCTGTTTTTTCATTTCTGAGGTTAGTTTTTACGTTTCGTGAGAAATGAAGGAGTTATTGGCGATCTTCTACGCCAAAATTCGCCATCTTGGTTTTCAGCATGAGTAGACAGTGACGTCACGGGAGGGACCCGATCGCCTCCTCCTTCGAGTTTTTGTATCGTAGTCAATGAGGGAAATCTAACATGTCCAAGATAAGCGATATTTCCAGAGAAAGTAGTGGCAGCGAAGATGAGATTTCTGAAGGTAGCGCTTACATTGTTAAAATAACGAGTTCCTCCCATGACGTCACAAGAGAACGGCGAATGATGATAAAGCGACTTGGCTAGGCCGCACTTTTTTGCTTAATTTCAATATCAAAACGCTTTTATTTAAAAAAAAAGTTCAGATCTACTATAAGAGCAGTGCAACGCTTCAATTAAGAGAATAAAAAAAATCATGTCACTGGCACTTTAAAACCCTTATCTTTGTTCCACTACTGCCTCCGCGCTAAGATTTTGCTTCATGTGGCCTTTATTCTTGTTTGTATGGAGGTTAAATAGATTACCATATTGCAACATTAAATATTTGAAACGACAGCTTGCTATTGAAATTCGTTTAAAGAGTTAAGAATATTTTCAATAAACAAACTTACCACCCTGACAGGAAACATTGTAGCCAGTAGCAATGCGATTATAGAACAGGCTAGTACATACAGATAGGGAAAAATGTTCCTATTAAAATAATTTACGTAACAATGTATTTAACTGCCATGAGTGCAAGCAACCAAAAAACCCCAATGGACACATAACAAAAAATCTCTATCACTCTGCAATGAGGCGTCAAGCATATAGCCACAAACCCTATTTAGAATAAAGCCTCTGTAGATATGGTTCTGTGAAAAATTATCGATTTAGGGTATTGTTGTAAAAAGTGGCTAATAATACAGCTTTATCAAAGTGCCCAAGCCCCTTTCTTTGGGGTTATAATATTATCAACCCCAAAATATAATGTCATTCTTTGCTTTCTTTACGAAAATAAAACAGGAAAAAGCCATGAAATAAAAATTACAAAAGATTTGATTCATACTAGGTAGATGGGGTACAAACCCCTTTGAGACCTGCAAAGAAGATAAAAAAGCCGATAGAGGCTACCAAACATAAGAATGGCTGAATATGTATATGAGTCGCTAGTAAGTCTTTGTTCTCCTTTGACAGAAGAAGCATAAAAATAAGAACTTTAATTGCAACTATCCTGCAAATCTAAGCTATGCCCAAAATTGCAGAGTACAAAACTGATAATAATCATTGAGATCTACAAACTCCCAATGTCAGATTAGCACTGTCTGAAAACTTGAATTAACATCTTTTACAAAATGCACGACACAGACCCCTCCGTCCAAGGGTGGATCCAGAGCAAACTTGGAGGAGGGGCAGTTGGTAGTGGAGGGCGCTGAAAAATTTTCTAAAATTGATGACGAGAATATGCTGTATACAACAATTTCAGATCCATTTTCGGAATAAACAACATAACTTCGAGGTAATCCTTGAAGCAAATTAACCTATCGGTCTCAGAAACTTTTTCACCTGATTCTCATTCTTCAAAAGGGGCGCATAATTACAAAAAAAGGGGCGCCAGACTTGCTTTAACTCGTCGAGAGAGGGGCAACTGTTAGCTTAGCACGGTTTCAAAAACTTGCATCACATTTCTTACAAAATGCACGAGACAGACCATTCCATCCAAATATTCAGATCTTCAAAAAGAGGTGAAGTTGGAACTTTTAGCTTGTTCGAATTGCAATCCACCTTGACAAGCAGTAATCGATTGGCCTGTTAAGCAATAACAGCAGAGCCAAATTTTATCGCTCTGTTATCAACCCTTGGTCCGGAGATCGTTTTCACAGGAAAGCAGATGTTTTTTAATGGAAATACTTGTAACTGCAGATTGTGCAATGCTCTTGTTAAATGTTTGGCGGTTTCTGTGGGATTTTAACACATTTGAAGAATAAAAAAAATGCAAACTGCATGCTAATTTTTAATCTATTAATTGTTGGTTACAATAAATTGTTGATGTAATGCCTTAAATTTGATTTCTTGGCTTACCCAGTTCATTAGCTATAGATTTAAATTGTCAATATAAAGAATTAATTGAAAATAGAAAAATAAAAAAAATTGCTAAAGATGTATGAAACATAACCCAAAAAGGATTCACAATGAATAAAAAGGGTGTATACTAAAATAAAGATTTTTCTGCAAAAAAGCAGATGTCCTAAAGTGTATCCTTACCACCTTCTAGGCAACTTGTGCCACTGCTGACCTTTTACCCCTGTTAGAATTTGACAGTTAATATATTCAGAATGATGCAGATTTGGCCAAAATATTTTAAAGCTCTCTTTGTTTATTTTTTGGGAATATTTCCTCTGCTTTAAACAAGTCCCAAACTCGACTTCTTTGTAGAGCAGCTTATTACTTACTGAGAGTGTTCTGCATAAGTATTGATAAAAAGTGAATTAAATACTCTGCATTGATAATCTTTAAGAGCACCATGTCTAAGGGGCAGCTTGGAATGGCAATAGAAGTATTTGTTTAATACCATTTTATTTCAAAGAAAGAGGACCTTGGTTTCTCTTTGATCGCAAGAAATTTATTTGGCTTTTTTATCCGCTGCGACTTTTTTACAACAATACCCTACATCGATAATTTTTCACAGAACCATACGTATTTTTTCTCGAATATTCCCGCTTCCCTTTTTCTTTCTGCCTCTCTAGTAATCCCGCTCGTATTTTATAGATTGTAAGAAAAATCCCGCCTCCCCAGTAATCCTGCGTGCGGGGTTGAAACTTTTGATTGGCATTTGCTATTCTTTACACACTTTGTATGGGCTTCAAAATCAAAGATCGAAACTTATGCTTGGAGTGAATTGGTTAAATCACGTGATAATGTCGTAGACGGGAGAGTGCAGATAGCTGTCTTATTTTGCAAGTTTATCAAAGATCCAAGTATTTTTGAAAAAATTATCATTACTGTTGTTGAAATTGCATATTTTTTTCTCTGATTTGCCACAAGTCTTATCTTCGAGCATTGACATGTGCGAATCGCTCAGTGAGTTCAGTCTTATCAATTGATATTGCCAAGTTATCGAATCTTTCTTGAGATATCTTTGACCTTAAGTACGTGTTAATCAATATAAGTTTCGAAAATGATCTCTTAGCTGTGGCAACCGTAACTGGAATTGTTACAAACAGAGTTAGTAATTTGTACACTTCTGGAAAGGATGAACTCACTCTGCTTTCCAGCATCAAATTTACAATTTCAAGAACTGACTCTTGGTCTGCAATATCTTTCTTGGACTCCTTTGCAAATAACCGCCATTCGGTTTTCAAATTTCCTGTAAAATCATATGGATATGCTGCAGTTACAGCTTTTGTGATGAAAATCTGATCAAACAACTCATACTTTGCCAGTGATTTGGGGTAAAGAAACCTGAGAAGGTTTGTTACCAAACTTTGACCATTAAGACCCCGCTTACACTGTCCCGTGCAAGTTTGGAACCGTGACAAAACTGTCGCGGTTCGCTCTTCCGTTTACACCAGCACTGTGGAACCGTGACGATTTTGCTCTGCTATCCGGAACAGTTTGGACCCTGCTTTGAAAGCGAACGAATTTTGTACCGTCACGGTTCCGTTTTTGAACGGGACAGTGTAAACACCTATCCGAGACGATTTTGTCACGGATTCACAAAGGGGTCTTTTGTATGGCTGTTTGAGGTAATCGAGGCTTTGATTGTGGCGTAACTACGTTGTCAAATTCTGAAGAAAAGGAAATTCTGAAGAAAAGACGACCACAGAAAAGGCTTGTTTTGTTTCCCAGTCCAAGCCTTGATTGGACTTTGCAGTTTTGTAGTCTAAAATTTTGACTTGAAAAATAAAACTATTTTGACTTGATTCTCACTTCTGTAACAAGTTAGAGGAAATTTTCTGCTAGTTAAAAGAGCTGCGGCGCTCAATTTAGCTCATCTGAATGGAAATTCTTACGCTTAACAGGCGCATTTCTAAGAGCTAAACATTAATCATAATCATAATCATAATCAGAGTTTCAAAAGGTCTGAAGTCTGAGGCACAACGTAGTCTGAAGTGAAAGTTACGTATTGGATCAAGAGTATCCCTACCCGGTACAATACGCGTTATTGTAATGCAGGTACAATGTGGCAAGCGAAACAAAATATTACGATTCACATGAGACGCCTGAAGAGTACAAATCAAGATGGAGGACAATAAGAATGGGTAAATGAAATTGAATTGAATAATTTTATCACAAGTTGAAGTATTATCATTGTTCTTCAGGTCAGTACTGATTCCACAATATATACATTAAGTCCTTGTCAAATCTTGTTTGAAAACCTCGACTCGAAATTATTGAAAAACCTAAATGTTTCTAAATCTGTATGGGGTCTTTTTGCTCTTATTAGTTGGTGGTGCTTAATGTGATACACAATTACTTGCAATACTGTCATCAGCAACATCAATGTTCTTCTTGAAGCTTCTTAAAACAACCAAACATCTACCCAATTAATTTGAAGCAATGTCTCAACAATTTTCAAAGTTTTCTTTCCTCACCCCCTACTCTTCTCCCAAGTTTTTCTGAAAACTATAAGTAAAAAAAATATTTGCCTATTTTTTGATCAACCGTACCAATTTGCTTTCTATTCAGTGACATTGGAATCATTTGAAGTTTGCGGGACTATGTCTCAGAAAAATGGGCAATTTTCTAAAAGTTTTTAAAAAGGTCGCTAAGGTTCAGGGGCTCGTGCCCCGTTTCAAACGTCCCTATAGGTTTCTTTCATGCTTGTAATTAGACACATTTTCAAAAAAATGTAATCCTCAAAAGCACATTAGTTTTAGATCTTCCATCTTATCTTTTCACAATTATTTCAACTACATTCTACTTTTTTAGAATTTTCAATCATTTTACCGTCAATTTGGCCTTATCTGCAAAAGGTAATTTTCCTCATTTTTCTACAATCTTTTGTATTTGATCAAATCTATTGTATTTGAATAACTGTAAAACGGCCTAATTGAATGTGAACAGCCTGCTTTAACTTATAATTTGTTATCAAGCTTAGCTTGACTTAATTAAATCAAAATATTTGGTCGTTGTAATATTTTCTCTATATTGGGTGCCATAGTCTTTTGCAAAAAGGGCGAATGTCCTTTGCAAGAATCTCGTCCACCCCCCCCCCTCTTTCTCACGACATAAAGGTACTTTCATACGCCAACCATACCCAGGGCTACAGAGAATCGATTGATGAAGAGCGGGGCGAAGGAGAATGGAAGGGGAACGAACATTCCATAGCCTCGTCTCTCCTTTTCTCTCCCATTCTCCTTCGCAATTCTTTTCCCCGTCCATTGATTCTCTGTCAGAATACGCCAACGAATGCATGTTCAATCTAGGACATAGTACGTAGAATGTAACGTACAGTGGATTGAAGGACGTGGCATACAGGACTTAGATTGTACAACGTATCATAAAATATGAATGCATGTAAACAAAATTCTGCTTCACTTTTGTAGGTTGACCAAGGGGTCAATGCTCAGTTTCTGGGTTTGGTAGTTAGCGGTTACAGCATTTTTCAGATTATTGGTGCCATTATGTTTGGTGCTTGGTGCCAGTACCGTCCAGCTATCGAGCCACTGTTGGCAAGCACTTCTCTTCGCTTTATTGGGCATTTCTTGTACCTGTGTGCTGAAAACTATCCCGGTTTTGATGGGAAAATGCTGATACTATTTGCAAGGCTTACTATCGGTTTTTCAGCAGGTAAATGTTACTGGACTCATATTTATATTTGATAGTTAAATGATTTGTATTAAAAATCTCTTGTCTGAGATTTCATCTTAAAATGGAATGGCGCTATCATTATTTCGATTCCTAAGCAAACCATCAACAGAGTTCTTTAATGATGACGTCACAACAATATATTTTTGAATTTTTAATTTTGATCCCATAACCTGAAAGAGCATAATAAAATATTTCTAACTGTGCAAAATCAGTCAAATGAGTTATGAATTGGCTGAGATATGGCCATAGGTGTATTGGCTCTTTCCCCATCAAACCTCTGTATTTTGGTGATTCGTTAGCAAACTTCAAATCTTTCATCGGTAATATCCCAACCGATTTTAGACATAGTTGGCCAATTTTGCATATTTGAAAGTATTTCGTGGTGATCTTTTATGTAATGTGGCCAAAATTCCAAAATTTTAAAAAATAGGTTTTAGGGAAGTCGGAACTCTATTAGTGTTGGTGTATCATTGCGCAGAATTCAATGGAAGGCCAAGCGTCACAAAAATTCAGCTTTAAACCACCATCCCCTCACCCCACCCTTTCTTCCCCATCTGATGTTTGGATAGAAATCACAATTTATTTTGCCAGTAGATGTAGCTGTTTGTCGCACTGTGGCTTCCCAGTCATTTGCGAAAAACGAGAAGAACAATGCATTGAAAGTCCTGACTGCATTTGAAGAATTTGGGTCTACATTAGGTCCAGGTGGGTAGATTATTTTTATCTGTGACTGTTTTTTGCTGAAGTACTGAATTTGAAAATTCATTCGAAAGAATTCTCTTTCTTTCGACAGATAAGAAATTTGAAAATTCTCTAAGACAGATAAGTTAGATTAGACTGAATCGTATCTGTTAATCCTGTCAGGTCCATTGCATGTAACGATGCTGTATCTAAGGATCACGTGTTGCGTAAATTTGCCTAGAGACTCAGCGGCTATTGCCCCCCCCCCCCACTCTGAATAATGGGTTGTTTTTTACGGGAAAGGGATGTTTAAAATCGCTTATTACGAATGACAAACCTTTTCAGCACACAACAAACTCTTTATAAGGTTAAGATATTAATCGAATTCATAATAAGTCTTTAAGGAACTAATGGACCAACCAAGAAGCTATCTATTGAGTGTGATGCAAAAAAACTTTTTATGTCATTTTTTTTTTAATGCTTGACCACAATTATTACTTTTTGCTTCGTTAAGAGTTTTTTCGAAATTAGCCCAAATAATGAAGATAGTTCACGAAAGATCATTTATGCCAAAAGCTGAACGGTTTTTTGCCAACTTTGCGCAACTGCGTCCTGGGAGTGCAGACCACTACCCTTTTTCTCAAACGCGGATAAGTACCATATTTCTTGGAAAATTGCTTGAATATTTGGTTATCACGCTAAAAAGGATGGTCATAAATGACATGTAATGGACCTCGCAGAAATAATATAAATGATTTAGTCTGAATTTCACGCACTTGTTTGGTCAAGCGTCATCATGTTGCAGTAATAGCGTCTTTCTTCAAGCCCCAACACTACAGCGTGTTTTATGATGCACTTCGTGCTGGCTTTGAAGAAAAATGGTTCTGGGACTCAAAAATCAAAATAAAAGCACAATACATTGAACGGAATAGGGCCTTTACGATCTCTGGTAAAAAAGTCAGAAGAAAGAAACCAAGACATCTTTCAGTCTGTTTCAATGGCCCATATAATTGAAAGATTCGTAGAGGACCTTTGCATGAAACGAGCGAATGTAGAGAAATATTCGCGGACTGGTATTAGCAAGCAGTAAAGATGGTACAATAAGTTGATGTTCAGCTGTTCCATTCCTTGACAGTATTACAAATCAGCTGAAGACAAGACTTGGAGACAGAAACCAGCCGAAGTCAAGGCTCGCGGAACTGTTCAACCGCCTCCCATCTGTAGTGCGAAGCAAAGAATTCAATGTTAACCATTTGAAGAGCAAATTGTCTTAGGATATGGAAAATGATGGGCTGCTTTTCAAAAGTGAGCTGGCACTGGGAAAAGAAGATGGCAGCAGGGCCGACGAGAGGGGGCAAGAGAGGTGAATTGCCCTGGGCCTCGAGGTCTAGGGGGCCTCATAAAGTCATGGATTCCGTTTCAAAATGGAATTTATCAAACGTAACAAAATTACAGTTAAAAAGTAAAACATTTTAATTTGATGAATGAGTTTAAGCTATTCGTAAGGGCGTGGTCGGAAATATTTTTGCTCACTTCGCTTGCAAGCGGCCTCCTCTTTTCCATATTCTCTTTTGGGCCTCCTAAAGCTTTCAGCGGCTCTGGATGGCAGACAGAAAGAAGAAGTCCGCTGAGATTGGAGAAAATAGACGAAGCCATGTACATAGTTAACATGAAAAGGAATAAAATACAGACTCATACATCACAATTTTTTCTCTTTTGATCAGTTTTCCTTGATGGCGTACAATATTTACAGGTTTAGTAACAGCTCATATTTTCAGAAAATACGCTTAAAGCAACGCAGACCAAACTTCTAAATACTTTTAAACAGCGTCTATTATGGAATGGTATATGCTATTAATATAATAGAAATTTCACTTAGGCAACGAAGTTGTTATTGCTGCAATTTGACAGGGATCTAAGTTTTCATTCGAGAAACGGGATATATAAATTGAATTAGGAGCTTTTGATTTAAACAGCCTCAGCCCCATCGAGGCGAGAAAGCTAATTTCGAACTTTTTCCTTTTTCAGCTTTGCAAGCTGTAGCCGTACCCCTGCTTGGCAAAGGACTACATTATTCATTTGTGAATATTGACATTTTCAACATTGCTGGATGGATCGGAATAGTGACGACAGTTTTCAGAATATTCATCATCCTTATTTGGTTCAAAGAACACAACATTGATGTGAAAGACAGCACAGGCAATACCTCATATCCTTTTCCTTGTAATATCATGCAGCATATCATAAAATCTTGAGATATTTCATATTCCCCATTCAGTTTCCGTATTAATTTTTTTCCTAAAGACTATAACGTGCTAATTTTCATTACGCACGGAATTTTTGCAAATGGTGAAAGACAAATGGAAAAATTTGTTTCTATATTCTCGGTTTGTTTCAATCTTTTGAATCAAGAGGCTTCTGTATGATGGTGAGTCTGTATCCCGTATGCTGTTTTTAAACAAAACTGGTTTAAGCAAGTGGGAACACTATGTTGTTACTTGGGCGGGACATAGGTGTGTACCACAGAGAGACACATGCTTTAGTGTCTACACCAACGTTCTGAAGACATGTAAAAAATGCATCTAGCAATCCTTCGGCTCCTCCCTTGTCGCCGCTTGAAAGTCAAAGAAAGAGAGTTTGGACTGTTTTTACATTGCTTGGTACAAATCTTGCTGTTGCAAGCTTTGAATCAATTCGTTGTCTATCAGCACTGCCATCAATTTGAACTGAATAGCACAGGCATTTCTTTAAAACAGTCGCTGCCTTCTCCATTTGCAATTTTGCAACAATGCTTCTCATTTCAGCATATGTCACTGGGCCTCTATAATGATAAAAGCTTGATTTCTCAAATGCTTCAAAATCTGCATCCCATACTTCCGATTCAAAAATGTTAACCAAGTTGTTGCTGTGCTCATGGGAAAGCAAGCGCGATTGCCAGCTTCTTGCACTCAGTGTCTCTGCTCTACAGTCGTTGTATGCATCCACTGCAACCTGAGAAGAAACTCGAGAGTGTTTTTCTGGCACTTTCCAAAGATCCTTATCCATGGATGCTCACAGGATGCCATGGATGCTTATTTTTCCACAACTCATAGTGTGCTTTTAATCTTTTAGCTTCTTCGTGTGCCCTTGACATCAAGTGATCTACGACGCATTTCAATCGTTCTTTTCCATCAACTGGAATCCCAGAGGCCATAGGGAGACGTTCATTGGCAAAGAACTATGTCACTTGGTTCACATATTCTTTACATAAAGAGCATGTCATCAAGTGCCGACATTTTTTGTCTTTCATTTTAGTTTTCACTTCGAGACAACTTGCCGATAAAAGTAGCCAGCTAACGCTCAGCTTTTTACTTCTGTACCAAACAATGTCATCTTTAGTACTGAATTTCTTAAGTTGATCATCATCCATTTCGCTTTGCTTGTCGACCGGGAATTTCACTAATTCGTCAGTCGGTTGAGCTGAAACAGTTTCTTGGGTAAGATTCGTTTTTGCAGCTGAATTCCCAGCTTTCTGATTGCCAAACTTACCAAGCAGTGATCTCTGCCCTGGTGCTGAGGCGGCTGCGCTCAACGTTTTTTTCTTATTTTCAATTCTTTTGTCATTGCCGCATCTCTGCTTTCTCTTCTCCTCAAGTTTACTCAAAATCGGCAAATCGTTAAAACTTTATAACTTATTTCAAAACATTCGATTGCACCTCATGAAGTTTTTATGTTTGCCTGTTGAAATGGTTGGAATGATGTGGACTTTGCAAAAATTGAGCAGGTCACTGCTTTAAACAAGTTCCAAATACGACTTCTTTGAAGACCAAACATGACTCCTACTCTAAACATGACTTCAAAAAATTGTTGATTCACCGTAAATCCTTGAATTGCCAATTCCCCCCCCCCTCTCGAAAAAGCCCCCTCCCCCGTTCGAATAAGCCCATACCTTAGAACTAAAAATTGCCAATAAGCCCCCCCTACGAATAAGCCCCCACTGCTATGGTAAATTCTCGAATTGGACCCCTCCAATTGGACACCTATATGGCGTTTTATTGAATTACCACAACAAATTCATACTTTTGGTAGTAATAAATTAAATGCTCATAAAGAAATTCCCACTAAAATAAACGAGGTCTTTTAATAATGTCTTGTAAAATTTGCTGCTGGTGTATATATTTGTAAAACTTCTGACACCATTCGTTGTTTGAGCGATTGACCGAGCGAATAAACGACACGTTTTGACACACAAAATCAATTCCTTTTATTCCATCCAAAGCTAAGACGTTCTTTTACACAATATCGAAACTTAGGTACTAAACAGCCTTTCACAAGCACTGTTACGCCATTAAATTATATATATATATAAACGAAACCTCGAGTGCTTTCACAAGCCACTCGGGTTGAATGCCATCAGCCCTCTCTTAGCCTTTCCATCCATGACCGTTCTGTCTGTGTGTCTGTGAGTTAGTGTCTACATGTTTGATAGCAGTGGCCTTTCGCAAGCACCACGCTTCTCTCTAACTAACTCTGTTTCTCCGTACTCTACTTTATATAACAGCATTACAATATAGCAAACTAACATCAATAATTGCCGGTGTTATTGTCGGTATCTATCGTGCAATACGTAAATGAACTAGTAGGAGGTGTTAGATATATTAGGATACGCGGGGGAACTTTGTAGAGCAAAAGGGCATGTAAAATATTACTATACCGGAAAACATGAAAAACTAAAGCGCGACAAGCTAATATTTCCTAATCAAGGAGAAGCATGAACAAATATAAGCATAAACGCAAGACTGACCTAAAATGAAATAAGTACCTATATTACAGTCTTCCTGATGTCTACGATACTTTTTTAAGTCCCACCCCCCTCGTATAAGCCCCCCTCCCTCGAAAAGGCCTTCATTCAAAAATAACAAAAATAAATAAGCCCCCAGGGGGCTAATTCGGGGATATACGGTACTTGCTGGAAGGATTCTGCATTAGTATTTATAAAAAAGTGAATAAATATCATGCATTGATAGTCTTTCACAGAATCATGTATGTCTACAAAGGCAGAATTCCAAAAAGGGTTTGATGATATACACTGGACGCCTCGTTGCTGTATAACAAAAGTTTTTTGGCCATTTAAACAATTGTTTTTTTGGTTGCTTTTTGGTTTTTTGGCTGGTTAAATACATTGTTACGTGAAATGTCTAGCTAGAAACAATTTTCCTTTTCTGTTTGTGCTTGATTGTTCTTCAATCGCGTTCCTCTAAGGGTGGTAAGTTTATTTATTGCCAATATTCTTAACTCTTTTAAACGATTTTACAAGAGCAAGCTGTCGTTTCAAATTGTTTATGTTGCAATATGGTAATCTATTAGACCTTCATAAAAGCATTTACCCAGGCCACATGCAGCAAATTCTTAGCAGGGAGGCAGTGGTGGAACAAAGATAAGGGTTTCAAAATCCGAATCGACGCCCAAAACCTTGCAAAATTATTGCAAATAATATCCACAGTTTCTCTTTGCGAATGTTGTGAAGGTGAACCTTTCTGTAACTGTTGGAAAAAGTTGAACAATGTTCATAATTGTAGGAAAGCAACGCAGATTTACAAAGTTAATTTCAAACTTGCGATTTCGGGGAAAGTTCCTGTTCCAGTTGTTGTTCGTTATATCCGGGGTTCGTTATACCTAGAGAATTTTTAACTAGTTTGTTAGGCAGAATCCAAGAGGCCAGACATTTTGTTCCTTATACCGGGAAGTTCGACACATCCGGGGTTCGTTTGGGGGGCCTATGAACTTTTACCATTATCTGGGAAGAATAAGCTACAAAATTGTCACTTTTTAAACATTTTTCAGGAAAAATGTACCCTGGGTACCAGACTCACTATATAAAATAATAATTTTATTTCATATATAGTGAGTCTGGTACCCAGGGTAGGAAAAATGCAACTAGAATTTATTTTTGAATGAATTTGTCAGACTTTTAAGGTCTCCAAACGCTTTATGCTGTTTTCCTTAACGAAAGAAAAAATATGAGCTAAAAGATATTATTCTTCATCGTTTTCTTTATCAATGAAAATCAGCTCTTATGCCGGTGTCATATGCGTTTCGGTAACCTTATGCATATTGGTCCGGGTACACAAACGCATAACAATTTTTGTTATGCAACAACGTACCCAAGCATTTATACAATAGGGTACCAAAACGAATAGTGGAATTTAGCATGCGAACCGATCAAATGTTCTGGTTCATATTGTTCAGAATGTAAAGAACAATTGAACTATTTTTATAAAAGGGATGCAAATAAGAAGCGGTGCTGTAATTTCCTTTGTTAAGTTTATGCAAAAAAAGTACAACATTTATGGCGACTCCAAACTTTGCGTGATTGACAAGCGTAAATATCAAACTCTTAAAAACGTGTCAAAACATCGCACAATGATGAAGTCACATGATCTGAAACACATTGCGTTTAACAATGTTACACTTTTGCATATGGTACCAAAACGCATATTACACCGGCATTTTTCTTTTCACTTTGTTGGGTCTACACTTTGTTATGCATTGACATTTGATGAAGTAAAACATTAAGAATTTGTTCAGAATTGTGAAAGCATTAGATATTGACGGATAGGATTCACAACTGATAAGGGACTTATCATGGGAACAGGATGCAGCCATCAGAATTGACGGAGGGAGACCAGCAAGTGGACATCAGTTGTGAAAGGTGTAAGACAAGGATATGTACTATTCCCAGATCTTTTTAATCTATACTGTGAAGTTATTCTGAGGGAGAAAGAGAGTATGTGAAAGTTGTGAAAGTTGGTGGTGCCAAAAAAAACAACTTGTGACCTGCGGATGACACCTCATAAATTGTGAAAAATGATGCAACCCTTCAAAATCTTCTGAAGGGGGAAGTGAAAAGAAAGGTCTTCAAATAAAGATGAAAAAGAACGAGGCTTCTATCGAATGTTATGAACATAGCAAAACACTGTACGTATTTTGCAAAAAAATGAACGTTGGCCTGATCCCAATTTAATGGACTTCTAAAGTGTTTTCATTCTTATGTTTATTCCAACTGTATAATTTGTTTCAATATGCTATTCAAAAGATAAGCAGCCAATTGTACTCTGCCTAAAGAAAGTGAGATGTAAAATTGCATTTCTTTTGAAGACATATTGCATAAAAAGAGGCCCTTATTATAATTGGCATGGTACTATAAGATTTTTTGATACTATGAGGTCTTTTGGGGACTATAGCCCCCTCCGAACACAGCTAATCACCCTTAGTAAGATTTTGGAATAATTATAAAGAATTTCATCATATTAAATGAAGTAAATTCAAATTTTTTCTAGGCTAAAGCGTCTGTTTCTTCCACTTGTAGAATAACTAAAAAGAAAATTTGAAAAAGAAAGAGATTTCAGATATGGAGAAGAAAAAGCTCCTTAACGCGGCAAGGTAATTTCATACTTTTTAATGCAGATTTATGGATCATGGTTTACAGATCAGCAAATCAGGATTGTTGTTTCTCAGCTCTTCTATTCTAAAAACTGTAAAAGTGTTTTCATTTTCAACTATTTGACTTGGTTCTCTTCTCAGAAACATGTTAGAGAAAACTTTCTGCTAGTTAAAAGGCCTGCAACGCTTAATATAGCTACCTAAGTGGAAAGTCTTACGCTGCACAGGCGCATTTCTAAGAGCTAGACATTGATCATAATCATTATCATAATCAGAGTTTCAAAAGAGAGATACATAGCTCTACCCCTGCAAAGTCAAGAGGCGAAGATGGAGGGGAGGGATGCAGAGCAATGAGTTTTCTCCATTTCTCTTAATTTTTGATTAGGAAGAACAATGATAATTTAGGTAGCTCAGCCTGACCTGCCTGCCATATGGCATCGCCATTGGCTCAAATATCAAAGCTCCCCTTGTTTGCTATTGGATTATTTTGATTTCCACTGTCACGTGCTACGTGAAACTGGGCCCTCTGACGAATTACAGGATAATCTCTCCAGCGCAGCATAGTCTGAATTGAAAGTTACGTATTGGATAAAGTGCATCCCTACCCGGTATGATACGCGTTATTGTATTGCAGGGACAGTGTGGCAAACGAAACAAAACAAGATGATCAACACGAGACGCCTGAAGAGTACAAATCCAGATGGAGGACAATAAGAATCACTTATTTAACTATGACACTCAGTGCAATGGGTAAATTAAATTAATGGGTAAAATTATTTTATCAAAAGTTGAAGTACTGTTGTACACCATGTCAGTATTGCTACCATTATACATACATTTAATCCTTGCAAAATATTGTTAGAAAACCTCTGCTTGAAATTTTTAAAAAAAGCTATATGTTTTCAAATCTGTCTTTTTGATCTGTTAGTTGGTGATATTTGCCTACTTTTGATCAAATGTTGCATTTTGCTTACAAATGATATATGACGTTTCTATTCAGAGATATTGGAATCTCTACAAAGATGGATTGACACGGGCGGGAAAGGGTGCTATGTCTAAGAAAAATGATCGTTAAACTTCGGAGGCACATGTCCCGGTTGAAACGTCGCTGCTATTTAGGTTTCTTGCATGCATGTAATTAGACACATGTTCACAATAATATAATCTTCAACAGCACATTAATTTTGAATCTTCCATCTTATCCTTGCACAAATATTTCAACTATATTTCTCCTTTTTTAGAATTTTCAATCATTTTACCGTCAATTTGGCCTTATCTGCAAAAGGTAATTTTTCTCATTCTCCACAATCTATTGTATTTGATCGAAGAGATTGCTGCAAAGGGCCTGACTGAATGTGAACAGCCTCCTTAGCTCATAATTTGTCTTCCAGCCTACATTGACTCAATCAACAAATAATTTTGGAATTGTAATAGTTTTTACATAGTGGGTGTCAGAGTCTCAATAAGTTAATTTTATGATATGCAAAATGTAAATCTAGTGTAAGAAAATTCTATTTTTATCAGTTTACATTGTCATGTCCTGCGTTTTCTGGGGCTTTGGTACCCAAGGATAGTTCATACTGGTTTCAAAATGCAAAATATCACTGTAAGACTAAAAGCTGCCGAACATTCATGCAGGATTTCGCTCTACTACTCAAACAAGGACCGTTGGGGTTTTAAACACATGGGACAAAAAGGTTTCTAGTTATTAGGTAGCAAGTAGGCGCATTAAATGGTTGTTTGGAGGCTAAGCCATCCAGTCTCTCCTTTTGATGGTACTCCTAGAATGTCATATTTTCACAATTTTTCTTGCCATCAACGACTGATAGTGATGCCCCCCCCTCCCCCTCCCCATTCTCACAATGTAAACGCCTTTTGATATCCCGGGTGCCAGAGCCTCAGAGAGTCAAAGGATGAAGAACTGGGGAAAGAAAATGTGAAGGAGATTGGGAGAGGAACAATGAATATAGGGCCTAGCCTCATCTCTCCTTTCCTCTCCCGTTCTTCTTCGCAATTCCTTTTTTCTGTTCTTCATCCTTTGACTCTCTGTGGCTCTTGCATACCGGGTACAGCAACGAATGCATGTTGAATCTAGGACGTACTACATAGAATATAACGTACTGTGGAATGAAGGACGTGGCATACAGGAGGGAGACGGCATGTAAACACATTTCTGCTTCAATTTGTAGGTTGACCAAGAAGTCAATGCTCAGTTTCTGGGTTTGGTAGTTACTGGCTACGGCATTTTTCAGGTTATTGGTTCCATTTTGTTTGGTGCTTGGTGCCAGTACCGTCCAGCTATCGAGCCACTGTTAGCAAGCGCTTCGCTTCGCTTTATTGGGAATTTCTTGTACCTGTGTGCTGAAAACTATCCGGGTTTCGATGGGAAAATGCTGATACTATTTGCAAGGCTTACTATCGGTTTTTCAGCAGGTAAATGTTACTGGACTCATATTTATATTTGATAGTTAAATGATTTGTATTAAAAATCTCTAGTCTGAGATTTCATCTTAAAGTGGGATAGCGAATTGGCATTTGTGCTATCATTATCTTGATCCCTAAGCGAACCAGCAATTAGTGTTTTTGATGGAAGGCCACACGTCACAAAAATTCATCTTTCAACCGCCCTCCTCCTCACCATTCCCTATCTTGCCCATCTGATGTTCGAATAAACATCACACTGATTTTTCCAGGAGATATAGCTGTTTGTCGCACTGTGGTATCTCAGTCAGCTGCAAAATACGAGAAAAACAATGCATTGAAAGTCATAGTTGCATTGGAAGAATTTGGATCTGCAATGGGTCCAGGTGGGTAAACCATACTTTCCTGCGACTGTTTTTTGTGTGGGTAAACTACCGAATTTGAATATAATAAAAATTTCACTTAGGCAACGATGTTGTTTCTACTGCAATTTGACAGGGATCTTTGTTTTCACTCGCGATACGGGATGAATATATATATATATTGAATTAGGAGCTTTCGATTTAAACAGCCTCAGCCCATCGAGGCAAGAAAGCTTATCACGGAGCTTCTCATTTTTCAGCTCTACAAGCTGTAGCCGTACCCTTGTTGGGTAAAGGCCTACATTATTCTTTTGTGAATATTGACATTTTCAACATTGCTGGATGGATCGGAATAGTGATGGCAGTTTTCAGAATACTCATTACTCTTATCTGGTTCAAAGAACACAACATTGATGTGAAAGACAGCACAGGCAATATCTAATATCATCTTCCTCTAAACTTAACGCAGTTTATCACAAATATATAAACCTACTCATATTTCTAACTTTCCATATTCTTATTTACTTGTGTTAACCTTGACAAAAACAGGTCAAAATGCTGGCACTGTATAGAAAGGTCCACTTTCATCACACAATAATTTTTTTCAAATAGTGAAAGATTAAAAGGGAAATAAATTAAAAAATTTTTCCGTATATCTCTTTTTTAAGGAGACTTCTGAGTTGAGTGAAGGTAAATCGAATTTCTGTACTCTTTCTTCAAATAAAACTGATTTTTGCAAGAGGGAACTCTACAAAGAGAGTGTATTTCTGCTTCTCGAAGTTATGAATAGGTATTAACTGAAAAATTAAATAGATAGGGTAGCCAGCTTCTTTAGTTGTGTTTATTCAGAGCCCACGTGGTCACTTAATGATAAAGGGGCAAAATACAGAAGTCTAGAAGATGGGCTAAAACTGAACGAGAACCCAAAACCATCTGCCTGGACTCACTTACCACAGGGTTGTTATCTTCTTGGTTTGAATTAGACATCAAAATATTTCTATTTATTTGTATATGCTTTGTTTCGATTTTAGGCGATCTTCCAAAGCCGAACCTGCGTGCTGCTTTGGTTACAATATTAGCCTTTTTCGTCCTTTATTATGATGTTTCGATTATTGAAACGTAAGCTGAAGTATATTTTCAAATAAATTTTAATGAAAATTTTACCATAAGCAATGACATAAGAACTGGGTGTGCGAGCGATGTTACTACTTCTAAAGGGGGATGTGTTGGTAGAGGAGGTTTGAGGGAGAATGGGTGTGACAAGAAAAAAGAAAGGCAAAAAGATCGTGAAAGAAAATGAAAGGATATGAAAGTATAGAGAAGAGGGTGGGTCATATAGAAAAAATATAGATATAAATTGACGGTGAAGGAGAAAAGGGGATAGAAGATGAATAAGAGGGTCGGTTGTCAAAATTAATTAAAGCAGAGGCTGGTAAAAGATGAAGAAAAGAAAAAGGATGAGAAGAATATTTCCAAGTGAGAAACAAACTCTGTCTATTTACACAGATCGGAAAGTATTCCTTTGACGTAAATAACTTCCAAAACAACCTTATTCGTCAAATGTTGTTTAAAATGTCGTCTCTTTTTGTTAGATGCATTCAAGATATGTTGATCTATGGCTCAAAAGATTTGGGCTTTCTCATGTTTTAAAGCACGACCAGCTTTATTTCTGTATCCGGGCATCCTATCGACAGTGGATCCTACAAACAATTGATGATTACACATGGGGCTTGTGGGGTCACCGGCGCAGAATCTAACCGGCCTTTAATTCTGAGACGAAAACAGTCTAGGCTATTTCAGTCAAAGGACAAGTACTTGAAACATACGCTCCAACCTTAATATCGATCATTCATATCGATACTGCTCTATAATGCATGGGTCAATGTTTATCAAATTAGATCGTGGATGAAAAAGTTTTGGTTTTTCAATGTATTGGTTTGATATTCTTAAGTAATTTGTTTTCTTTTCAATCACCCCTAGTGTGACAAGTCCATTGCTTGGAGATGAATTTGCCCTGCGAAAAGACGAAGCAGTTCTGTACGCAGGGACAGCCCTGTCTTCATTAAGTATAATCATCTTGGCAGCTTACATCATCATCAGACGTATACAAAACAGGTTCCTTATTTTTAAGTTATTTTCTTACTCCTTAGCCCAATTCCAAAAAACTATTTATATATGGGTGATCGTCAGGGATGTCAAAAGTATTTCAAAATTGGAGGGACCTAAGGGGGATGTGGCAATATGTCGCAGAAAAAGGGGTCCTTTTCCTTCGAAGAAACCTTTTAAGTCAAACTAGGGACCCGTTCCCCAAGTTATGACGTCCTACTTTGGCTAGGAATTCAAAAAATGTCAATTACCAAACTTTAAAGAATCCTCAAAGATAGAGACATACTAAAACAGTTGAAAACAATTTTACTTAGGTCTTTTATTTTTATTTGGCAAGAAGACAAGAAGCAGTCTACTTGGGAAATTACTTCCCCCCAACGAACAATTTAAATATAATTGGATTGAAGCTACGGAAGCAAAATTCTTTATGTTACAGTTGGCTTTCTGGTATTTGTTTAAATGGCTTAGACCTGTGTTGCTTGAGGGGGATTGGATTACCCAACTAATGGTATTGTTATTTTACACAGTACAAATTTAAGAAGAAATTTCTTAAATTTGTGTATTGGCAACAAAAAGTCAACTGGTTATGTGCATTAATCTGAACTCAAAAAAAACATTATTAACATATTCTTCTCTTTTCCCAGATTTCGCGAAAGGACCATTCTTTTTTTCGGGTTCCTCGTCTTGCTCCTGGCATTTGTTATCCTTTTGCCTTGGGGAAGTGAGCGCCATAAACTTCAAACGAAAGGTGCGTTCACAGAGGTTTATCCTTGTTTACACGAGGACTGGACCAAATACTTTTGAATACGATCAAAGGTGCTTAGATAGGATCCAATCCAAAACCTAATACAAAACCATGATCGGACCTAGATAAGCTCAACAAGCTAAATGTTTGGGTATTTTAAACGGAATATCCAGGCTGGGATAGCTGATCCAAAAATATCTATCTCCAAAAGGGGTATTTTCTAAAAAATAGCTAAGGGAGACCCAAGGTGGACTTTTAGTTGAAACATTATGGCTACTTTTGACCACGTTAATGTTTTCATCGATGCAACATTAGCAGAGAACGGAAAGAATGATATACCAGAAGCATTATACCCTCAACGGAAAGCACGATTTGCAAAAATGTTTGGAATAAAAGGATTGACAGTTGGTTCTATTCTGCGTGAGGATCTTTCCTAATAAAGTATATCTCGACATGAAGGGGGCTCTGTCCACTGCAACCCCCCCCCCCCCCCCTATGAATTACTGCTAGGATCCAACAGTTTCTACATAATAAGAAAGCAACAGGGTTAGGCAATAAATTGGCGCAAAAAGATAAAACAATCACGTTGTCGTACGTCTGTTGTGTCCGGTTATAAAGATATTTCTAGAGAATTTTCTGTTTACTAATTATTAGCTACAGTCTTATCAAATGTTCTGCCTGGTGTTTACCTTTCATTACATTGTTCGTTTCTTTACAAAGAAGTTACTATAATATTATTATTTGTTAACTTATGAAATTACTTACCACTTTAAACAAACACATGCGCTACATTTTACGATATGAATTTTTGTAACGTTTGTTCTTTTCTTTTTCTGTAGATCTTAATAAATTTTGGTTTGTCTTTTCAGAACTAGTTATTGTTGGAAATGTTTCAAAGATAGTATTGTCTCCTGGTTGCCCAATCAAGTACAATTGGTGCAAAACCACGCCCAAGATACGCCCAATTCAATTTGCTATTGGGATTTTCTTTGTATTCGTCGGTTTTGCTATGCCCCAGATTATCATCAATCTACTATACTCGAAAATAATTGGGCCAAGGAAACAGGTGAGACAGCACTATATTTGTCTTATTCAAGAAGATTATTTTTTATAACACTAACAAATGTGACTGGTATCATCAAAATGTATTGGTCAAGGAACCATGCTATCAGCATTAGCAGGGACGGGCCACTTCTAAAAAAAATGACACAGGGGGATCCAGTAATAGAAAGGCATGATTGTGCTAATATCGAAAGGCAAAAAATAGCCACATTGACTATCTGTATCTAAATTATATCAGATTCTATAGTCCAAATTGATGAGCGTATTTAATTCATACCATATTTATCAGCGGCATCATGCTTACTGAATGGCCAATACGCTTTGAAATCGTACTATTTTCGTCTCAATCGTGCACGTCTTTATTCATTACCGTATTTATCAGAGGCATCATGAATCCTGAAGGATCCTGAAGGCCAATACGTTATGACATCACACCGCTTTCATCTCAATAAGTTAATGTGTACGTCTTTATTCCATTCGTATTTATCAGCGGCGTCGTGAACACTGAAGGCCAATACGTTATGATATCATACAGTATTCACCTCAATACGTTTCTGCCCAAGTCTTCATTTCATACCCTATTCTTCAGCCGTTCAGAAGAAATGCAGACCAATATTGTGTGATAGCGTGCAGTATCTTGTAAATGGGCCCTTACATTAAGATAAGAAAATGTCAAAATCACTTTAGAGCCCCTTTATCCTTACATGGTTACAAAGTATCTCATTGATTTTGAAATTTTGACTGATTTCAAATGTTTATTTTTTAATTAGGGTTTGTACATGGCCTCTTTCAGCTGTGCTGGCTCATTTGGAGATTTGGTCGGACCACTGGTAACGACTTCATTGTATGCACATTTTGGACCGAGAGGATTGTTTCTTTGTGCAGCGATTGTAAACTTGATAACTGCTACGATGCTTGCAGGGTTTTATACAAGTTAGTTCCATTCGAAGAATATGTTAAAGTACCTATCGCTGATGAATGATAATATTAAAATAAAAATATAAATACTTTTGGGTCTCTATTTTTTAGAAATTAAATTGTGCATTGGTTATATAAAAGATTTGACTTACTTGGGTCTCAATAATATCAAACTTTAAAGAGCTATGTCAAACACCAGATATGAAAAAGAAAAAATTGTTTTCGACTTGCCTTACTAGGTTCCAAAATGCAATATTTCATTTTCTGGAAGTTGTCATGATATCTTTAAAAACTGAAGATGGTCATACTACCTCCTAAACGATGTAAGGTTTCATCTTACACATATGTATGGCATTTCAGGACCAGCAAAACGTATCTTAAAGTTGAGGGTCCAAAATATTACCAATTTTAGAAATCTGGTCTTTCAGGGATAGCAAGAGACTGAATCTAAAATAGTTTTTGCACGAATGAAAATTCAAGGCAATATTTTGAAGCATTCTTTAATCATTTTATCCCAAAGTTTTATCTATTTTAATGTTGATATGAAATAGGAAAGTTCTTGCCAAGTTTTAAAATAACCATATCATTGGAATAAAGTGCTTCTATTAAAAACTACTCTAAACTTGAAAATAGTATCAAACTAGTCTGGTCAAAACGATTTTGGTAGAATTTATAATTATGGCTAGAATTTCAAAGTACAGTATGCTTTGCCTTTATTAGAATATACCTTTGACATGAAATATCGATCACAGCTTTATGCTTAGCGTTTCTTGACATGACAGGATCATCAATAAAATGTGACTTAGAAGTATTTCAGAAAAAAATCTGCCGATCGTTCCTCTCTCAAAAATTTCTTCCTGGCAGTGCCAATGTACTTAGGAGCAGATTTTCTGTTTTTCTCAACGCGTTTCTTGTGAGCCAGGTTCAGGTCATAAGAAAACGATGCCTTGTCGGCCTTGACACCAAGTTGTTCCAGGGGCGGATCCAGAGGAAATTTGAAGGAGGGGCAGTTGGTAGTGGGGGAGCTGAAATATTTCTTGGACTATTGATTCACGAAATTGCAATATCATGATTTGAAATAACTGTGAAAACTTAAGCAGGTTGCTAATCTGGCATAAACTATCATTTCACAAAAATTTCAGGGTCTAAGCATCGATAGAAGATAGTCAAGTCACCAGTCACTGAAGAGTGGGAAGGTAATGGGCCAGACCTATAACATCAAACCCTTTTCTCCTCATTTAATTGCTTTATAAGCGAATCTTAAAGAAAAATGACCTTCACCTACCCAGTGTATTTTCATCAATTTCTATAGAAATGATGTGGACCATGTTTTGACAAAAGTGAGGGGGGGAATCACTCCCTCATACCATCTTTTTGTCCTGTAAAGGTAACATCACCCCCACCCCCAGGCTCATTCATGTCTAAATATTTCCTTCTGAAACTCCATTTTACAGCATTTACAGCAAGTATATGAAAATATTACAAAAAAATGGGAATGCACTTGAAAGGATATAAAAATGAAACAGACAAGGGCCTAATAATGAAGCATAACAATTTTAGCAGGATGGCACGCTATAAACAAATACAAATCCTGCCTTAAGCCAATATGTATGTAAATGTAAGGCAAAGATTAATTTTCATTTCTTTTATTTTTTTCTGCTTTGCTGTTTTTATCCAAATTTGTTTGAATCTTCATCTTTAGCTGCTTTGTAAATTAGGTTGTCACTAACTTTGGAAATCCTGTTATTGTTGTGCCCTTCAAATCATAAATATCATGGCAAATAACAAAGCAATTTGTTCAGAAATGAAAATTAAATCAAACATTTGTGATTACATTTCAAGTTGTAAATTTTAAAAACAGGAGCTATGTAACACAACTCTGCCAACATCCAAATTTTCACTAACAGGTGGGTTTTTGAACTTGATCCAAATTTTTTCAGTATCAATATGTCAGGTGGATTTCTGTCATCAGCTTATACAATAAAGATATTGGAAAACCTTCCAATCTAGAGAAATATTTGTAATCAACTCCTATTTTCTATCCCAACATCTAAATTTTGGCAAAAAACATCAATGTAATTGAAAATGAAATCTACATAGAATACATTTTTAATCATTAAGCTCCCACAAATATCATTTTTATTAAAGGTCACTGAAAATGTCATCAATATCATCATAATTTGAACTGTAATGATTTGATGTTTCTACCTTTAAACTCTTGTTATCATCTTGAATGCCAACCTTTGGAGAGTTCTCCTTTGTGTAGCTCAAACATGAAGTTTCTACCAAAACTAGTTCATGAATAGCTGGCACTTTTCTGTCCTTGAAAGATTGCTTTTGCTTTGTGTCTCTTCTTACTTGGTTTCTTTTCAGCAGCTTCTTCTGTTTTTGCTGTTTAAAATAGCTTTCTCTAAGCTGTTTAAAATGTATCCTCTCATTTTTACATTTCCAGCAGTAGCATTGAAATTTGTGTTTCTTTTTACTTTTCTTTGATAGTTTCTTAATCTGTGCCACATTTCTGCTAGGTTTATTTTTTGATGCATGCATTTCATTATTGTCTAATAAACTATCTACCTTTGGATCTAATAAAAGTTCTTTTCTAGAAACAACAACTCCTGTATCAAATGAAATTTTATCCTCAACTGTGTTTTCTTGATTTCCCCCAGAATTAATTGTTTCCAGTTGTAGAGCTCCTGAAGAACCATTAGAGAATGTCAACTCATTTTTAAAGTACAGATCATCCTCATATCTTGATAAAGCCTCCATATAATTGGTAACTTCATAGTCAATATAACTTGACAGCGGAATGAGTAGCTCATTAAGTGAGTGAAAGACTTTTATCATCACGGTCCTGGTACGTGATAGATGTGCAAAAATAAATGTGTTGAACGCGCTAAAAGTTTTCGAACTAAGATCTATAATAGACCATTCCAGGCCTTTCTTCAAAGCCCTTAGCAATTCAGTGAGTATTTTTGACTTAATGATCAATCCTTCAACTAGATCTATCTTTATTTTCTCGCAGAAGGTTGGATCACCTTTCTTCCAAATGCAATGACATGACTTACCCACATGGCAAACCAAGTCGATTATAATTTTATTGAGATTTGGACAATTGGACAATGAAGCCGGCCAAACATGTTTTTGACCTTCTTAGCATATTGAAATGATTTCTGCCGCCGAAGTTGATTCTGATGCTTATACAAAATCAAGTTGAGAACTTTATTCAGAATGAGTTCATCCAAAGTTCTAGTTATCTCGGCAAATGCTTCTAGTTTTGATAAAATTTCTTTTAAGTTCAATCGCTCATTGACACTCGAAGAATTCAGTGAAGATAGCAAGTTTCCATCAGTCTCCATTGATTTATTTCAAATTACACATCAAGAACAAGTTCTCGGCCTTCTAACACTTTCACGTTATGTGTAGTGACCACAATTTTTGAGTGGCCTCGTCTTCCTGTTCCTCAAAAATCCGCTCACGTGCATTGCACAAAATGGCTCCAGGGACAACAAAAGACGCTTGAAAACTTACATATATACATATTTATATGCATTCAAAAGCTCTAGACTAAAATTTTTTTTGAAAACTTTAAATAGACGATTAGTAAAAAAACAGCTTGATTAGCATTTCGCAATATGCTTCAGAATAACCTTCACTTACATTTGGAGCGTAAAATAAGGAAAACAAATATTAAACGCAAAATGCATAGAAAGAAAAGGATAGTAAAAAAATTAGAAAATATCATTTTGTGGAAATAATATACAGCTGTGAAAAGGAGAAAATAACCCAAGATATTGGAAATAAACAAACTATTTTTCAACTAACCTAATATTAAGGCCCGGGCGGCTTATAATACTACTATAAATTTGATTTTGATATGGTCATTGATGTAGCAACCGGAGGATACAGGGAGCACTTTTTCCCGCTTTTCAGTTTGAAGTGCCTATTCGCAGCTCACGGACACAGAGGTGTTGGTGCCACTTTTTGCCTCTATAATGGCAATAAATGTTGCCTCCCCCCCCCTCCCAGATTTTCAATTGCCTCCTACATCTAATGATAGATTGACTTCTTGATCTCAAACCGTCAAAGGTTTTGGAATTGAAAAACCTAGAGGTCCTTGAATTTTTCTAAATACTTGGATTTTTAGAAAAAATAGTTCTCTTAAAGCACATTTAGATCTTGATGTTCCAGGGAAAACCAATGCTATAAACATTACTAACCTAAACATTAAAATCAATGCTAAAAGTTAGCAATGCTATAAACATTAAATCCATGTTGTCTGATATATTATTGCTTACATTGATTAACTAATTTTTTGAAATCGAAATTTGCAAGCATTGTTGATTGCAGGGTGCTAGAAATTGTTACCCTAAAATTTTACCCAAAGGGTATTGCACTCCTGACATAAATCAAAACAAACGCATTTGAAAACAAACCCCCGGCCCCCTTCATTGGAGGCCCTGGAACTGAAATATTAACAAAATAAGAAAGGCTGTTGCTGTTGGACAACATGGCGGTCATGAAATTCACAGCTGCAACACTTATTGTGATTTTAGCATTATTTCTGAATCAATTAACAGAAAACAGTTTTTCAACAATGCCAGGAGGCCCAAAGAATGCAGTCAGTTAATTGATCCAGCAAAAGTACAAGCTTTATATTCATTTTATTAAAGCAGAAATGTAGTAGTCACAAATGGGCCTAAGTCAACATGCTCAAGCCTAAAGTTCATCACAACCATATTGATGCTTTGTGGAGACATTAGCCCTGGCCCAAAAAATTTAAATTACCCGGGGTGACAAGGCTGTAAAATGGAAACAGAGGACCTTGGCTTATGACAACTGCTCAAACTGGTATGATGTCGATTATTAACGAATGGATAGAAACGTTTACGAGGCTCTAGCAAATACCTCACTGGAGTGGATCTGCTGCCATTGTGGTTTCCCAAACTTCTCATCTTGTCTTTTTGCAGAAACTTTGGTGTCCTCCAACAGTTCTGGCATATTATCATCTGATACATCAGAACTCTATAAAGATGATGAAAATGATGTGGCACCAAAATTTGCATCAACACTCAAGGCCTATCAACTTAAAAAAGACAAAAGAAAGGGACCTTGTACAACAGAAAATCCTAAGTCCAGCGATTCAAAGGTAATACCAAAAATGCAAAAAAATGACAAGATCCTTGTCACCAACTTTCAAGCAGGCGCGCAAATACAGGGGGGGTCCTGGGGGTCTAGACCCCTGCCCTTTTTCTCAAAATGGGGAAGTGCCCTTTTTCTTGGAAAATTGCTTGAATATTTTAGTTATCACGCTAAAAAGAATCTTCATAAATGACACATTCTGGCGATGTAATGGACCTCGCAGAAATACAGATAAATGATTCAGTCAGACTTTCACGTATTTGTTGGGTCGAACGTTATCATGTTGCAGTAATAGAGCCTATGTTGAAGCCCCAACTCTACGTGTTTTATGATGCTCTATGCATTGGTTTGAAGAAGAATGGTTCTGGGACTCAAAGCCTCTACGACCACTTGTAAAAAAGCTACAAGAAAGAAACCATCACATCTTTCAAGCCTGTCCCATGGTCCATAAAATTTACAGGGTCATAGAGGACTTTTGCATGGAACAAGCGATTGTAGAGGAACTTTCGCGGACTGGTATTAGCAAGCAGTGAAGACGGCACAATAAGTTGATGTTTAGCTGTTCCATTCCTTGTCAGTATTACAACTGAGCTGAAGCCACGACTTGCAGACAGAAACCAGCTGAACTCAAAGGTCGTGGACCTGCTCAACCTCCTCCCATCTGTAATGCGAAGCAAAGAATTCAATGTTCTTAAGGCCGTTCACATTTTAAAGAGCAAATTGTCTTCGGATATGGAAGATAACGGGTTGCTTTTCAAAAGTGAGCTGGCACTGGGAAAAGGAGATGACAGCAGGGTCGCCGAGAGGAGGTGAATTGCCCTAGGGGCTTGAGGTTTAGGGGGCATCATAAAGCAATGAACTCCGCTTTAACATGAAATTAATTATAGAATTAAAAAAATACACTTAAAAAAGTAAATCGTTATGAACCAATGAATAAATTTAGGCTATTCTTAAGGGCGTGGTCATAATTTTTTTTTCTCTCTTCGCTCACTAGAGGCCTCGTCTTTTCAGTTCCCCCCTCGGGCCTCCAAAACCTCTCGGCGGCCCTGGATTGCAGACAGAAAGGGAAAGTCCGCTGAGATTGGAGAAACTAGACGAAGCCATGTAGATAGTTAACATGAAAAGGAATGAAATATAGACACATGCACCACAATACTTCTCTTTTTATCAGTTTTCATTGTCTGGCGTACAATATTTACAGGTTTGCTAACTGCTCAAGTGCACCCTGGCGTATCTTCTGTTTCTAAACATGAAAGTATAAACCAGGCCATAAGTGAATAAAGTTTTCTTAGTGCCCTTTTTGTGTCTTGGACCCCTGCCCTCTGAAATTGATGGTTGCGCGCCTGTCAAGGCATCCTAAGTAAAAATGAAAATCTTGTAAATCTTATTGACTCAACTGATCCTGATACAGTCATTGCCTCCAAAACAGGGTTAAAATCGTCCATAAAGAATAGTGAGATCTTTCAGCCTGATTTTTACCAGGAAAGACCAGACGGATATGGAGGTGTTCTGATAGCAGCCAAGAAAAATCTTAACGGTCAAGACATATCTGTAAAATTAGCAGGAGAGCCGGCATGGGTCACGATATTTAGAAAAAGAAAAGTCCTTTCTTGATTTGATCTCTAAATAGGCCTTCAAAATCAGACTTATATTCAACAGATGGGGCAGGGGGCTGAAAGTATGACTAAAAGAAATAAAAATGCAATTTTATGGATTGGGGGTTTCAAGGAGGCAGAGCAAACTTCAAGGAGGGGCAGTTGGTAGTGGGGGCGCTGAAAAATTTTCAAAAATTGGTTATGAGAGTACGCTGTATACAACAATTTCAGATACCTTTTCAGAATAAACAACATAACTTTGAGGTAATCCTTGAAGCAAATTAGCCTATTGGTCCAAGAACCTTTTTCATCTGATTCTCATTCCTCAAAAGGGGCGCACAATTTCCAAAAAAGGGGCGCCAGACTTGCTTCAACTCGTTGAGAGAGGGGCAACTGCCCCTAGTTGCCCCCCTTAAATTTGCTACTGAGTCCATACTAGAATATACCAAGCTTCTATAAACCAAAGATCAGTTCCAAGTGACTGAACAAAAGCGAATGTCACACCTTTGTTTAAATACGATGATAGGTCAAACCCTGGAAATTACCGACCAATTTCGTTAACTTGTGTAGCTTGCAAGGTTTTGGAGCACATTGTTAGTTCAAAAGAAATGGATCATCTAGAAAACTGCAAGCTATTATCAGACGCACAAAATGGTTTTAGAAGACACAGATCTTGTGAATCCAAACTTATTCTATGCATAAATGGCAAAGTAAATCTTTAGACTCAGGGGATCAAACCGATTATATTTTGCTGCATTTTCAAAAAACATTTGACAAGGTATCTCATAACAAGCTGTTATACAAGATGAACCACTATGGCATCAGAGGCAAGCTAAACAAATTGGTCTCCAGCTTTTTGCCAAATAGATCAAAGTCAGTGGTACTGGAGGGTACAAGATCCGAAGAGGTTGCTGTAGCATCTGGAGTACCACAAGGTTCTGTATTGGGACCATTACTCTTTATTATATTCTTAAATGACCAATGAAAATGCCCTTACTTCCTTAATCGAAAAACTCCAAGAACACCTTAATCGGTTGCAATCGTGAGCAAAAAATGATCAATGTCGCTCCGCGATCTGCTGAGAGTTGCTAAAAAGGACAGGCATAAAAACTTCATACGTAATGAGCGAGCATACCCTCAAGAATAAAAAGTACCTCGGCATAAAAATTAATGGTAAATTGAAATGGAACGAACAAGTTTAAGCCGTATGCACAAAGTCAAACACCACTTTGAGTCTTTTGCGCAGAAAAATGGAGACCTGCTCGCGTGCTGTAAAATAGAGCTGTTAAACGTCACTTGTAAGACTAATTTTAGAATATTCATCCACCGTATGGGATCCTTATAGCAAGCAAAACGTCGATAATTAGAGATGCTACCAGGCCCGTAGCCAAGGGGTGGCATGGGGTGGCAATGCTACCCTGGATCAGGCGAATACTAGCTGTTTGCCATCAGTTTTTCGTCGTTATCATTGGATTGCCATGACAATTTGGGCCAAGCTAATACTGACGGAAGGAAAATTGTTTATGTGGGCCTTTTATTATCCATATAGGACTTGAGATGGTGCCTGGCCGTCAAAAAAATTTCGCTGCTAAGCAAAAACATGAAAAGAAATATTGCTGAAACGTACTCCTTACGTCAGGCAAAGTCAGTCATTAAATAACTTCAAGACAGCTATAGATGACATCAATGTTTCCAGTAATTACTGAAAACTACAAAACTGTTTTAGCTAATTATTTTACTCAGAACTAAAAGGAAACTTAAAGTTTGATATACCCCTTTACCATTCTTTTTGGGAAACTAATACTGCTCAACACAAACCAATCATCTCAACTCACAAATACTGCCTCCATTGCACTATAAGTCTCATTTCGTTCGAAAAACTCTAGCAGTAGAGTTTTCTAAAAAGTGCAAAACATTAAACTTTACTAATTAACTGTTAACAGCTAACCACTAACAAAATTGTGCGTAATATCCGTTATTGGGTCTTTGTACGTTTTCCGATCGATAGATACAATCAAAGACTTTGATACAATAAAGATAAAGAGCAGTGGTCAAAGGCCAGCCTCTCTCTTGTTCTTGTCTCGTTTCAGAAAATTTCCAGAAATCGAAAGCGGAAGCTATTTAGGTAAACTCTTACCTTGACCCTACACTACACACACACGAGCCAAGCAAACATCTTGTCAGCAGGTGAATTTTGTAATAAATTGATGTAAAATAAGAATTAACAGTTTTAATTTCAAGCACAATGTCGCTGGACACAGTTGCATTTTTTTACAAGGCCAGACCATTCAAAATTTCGTTCAGACAGCATGGCAAATGTTCGCACGAGATCACTTTAGCTTCGTAGGCTGAATTCTGAAAAAAATTTTGATTTAACTATTTTTAGGGACTATTTTTAGTATTTTAACATTCCACAACATCGCTGTTATTACACTAGGTTAAACATAGAAACTGACAAGCAAATTTTGCCCATTTTTCACCCTGAACAGCATTTTTATTGCAGAATCTTGTATTTTTGTCTTTTAATTACATTCCAACTTGCATCAGATTCCCTGTAATGCCTTTCCCTTTGTCATATGATGCTAGGTAAAATATACTTCATGCTCTAGAAAATAATTATTACGGTATTTTGTCTTTTATTATCCAGGTTAAACAAAGAGAAAGTAAAAAAAGAATTAAATGGATGGTGATCATCCTTATCACAATATGGGTGTAGAATCCCCGCCAATTAACAACTCTTACAAAATCACAACAGAGAAAAAGCTTCAGCAAAACAAGCAATTAGCAAGAATCTTCTTTTCACTTTTTCTTGTCTGCCTGGTTCTACTGATTTGCGCTGTAGTTTTCAAATTTGGATGCCCCTCAAAAGTTGCTACAAGCAGAGAAAAAAGCCAAAGTCCTGTCATCAAATTCCTTCATGTATCAGACATTCATTTGGATCTTCAGTACAACAACAGCTTGAGCAAAAAATCTCTTTGTCGTAACTTGGTAAACATTACATCAGAAACAGCTCCATTTCAAGCACTATATGGCAGAGTTCGCTGTGATTCACCAGAAATATTGGTAGAATCTGCCCTTGGGTTCATGAGAAACCTTTCTCTCACAAAACTTGGAAAGATTGATTTCTTTATGTTCACAGGTAAATATGGCAATGATGTGTTGTTTTATACAAAAATTGATGTCTTGTCTAAAGTGTAAAATCTTTATTATATTGCATTGCATTGCAAAATATTATCTCCAAACACAATAGGACTATCAGGCTTCTGATGTATTTTAAAGAATGAAATAACCCAAATTGTTGAGAATTTTGAGGAGCTTTATACTTCTATAGGACAATTTTAGTGTTTGGGGGGATGGGCTCATTTGTGAATTTTCCACATTGTATTGGCCAGAGAAGGCAGCAAAAAAGGCAGCTATGTGAATTCAGCTTGGCATTGATGATATAGCTTGTATATATTATTTTCTTCATTTAAAAAAAACATGTATATTTTGCTTGTGCAAATGGCAGTGGATGCTCTTAAGAAACTTTCTCATTTCTAAGAATCGTGTAATGTTTTGTGGGTTGAAATATAATACAGGGCTGTTGAAAGTTGAAATTGTAGAATTTTGTAATGAACCTTTTTAACAAAGATTTGTAGTGATATTGAAGCATGCCTTGTTACCACAGGTGACCAAGTTGCACATGCAATTGGCCGTGACTATGGAAATAGTACCATAATGGAAAGGGTTCTGAATAACATGAGAGCAGCCAGCAATAAAATTGCCTTGGCATTTTCTGGAATACCAATTTTCCCATCATTTGGAAACAATGATCTCCCAGGAGATTATGTCCTTCCGAAAGACAGCAAGTTCTATGAAGATGTTCTGGCATTTTGGCAGCCTTTGGTCTTGTGCAAAAATTGTTCATTCAAGGTTACAACTGAGGAGGAGTTGAAGAAGACATTCTTAGCTGGAGGCTACTACAAAGCAGCAATCCCACGTAAATATGTCCCCTGTCTTCTCTTTTTCAGTTTTATACAGCTCACCAATAGCCGAGCCAGCCATTAGGCTCTGAGGGGGGGGGGGAACAAAAATTTTCAGGCCATGCTCCTTAACCACCAGAAAAACACCCTTCCGCCAACAAAGAATGCCAATTTTAATTAAAGGGAACTCCTATGACTAACTTTTGCTTAGGTCAGGGCAGTTTGAAAATCACAGGATTACATCACAAAAAGTTTTGTACCAAAACATTACCCCTCCTCCAATCTTTTTCTCATCAAATTCAGAAAAAAATACAAAATTGGTCCTGCCAAAACTGGGGGATGTTTCCCCCTCCCCAAGTCCTCCCATGGTGCCACCACTGCAGCTCACTTTCTCTCAAAGCAAGCAAAGGAGGTGGTACCCATTGAATTTTATGTTCATTTTCCACAGAAGTTGGCTAAGACATGCCCCATAGTTGTCATGTGGTGGAGCAGTTGAACAATTAAAAGTTGGGTGCCATCTTATTGTTGGTTCTGATGCAAGCATGTTCCTCCATACAGTCTGACTATTTCAATTATTCCAGCAATGTAGCACCTATAGGGAACAATTTATTGTTGTACCACTGCTGTTGTTGTTCTTAAGCACAAATTACAATGTTTTAATCATGTGAGTTTCTTGTACGTCTGTCTGGATTATTCAACAATTGAAAATTTGATTGTTGTTTCAGCATTAAAACTTGTGCTCCTGCAACTAAATTCAAATTATTGGAATGTTGAGTGTATTAAAAGAAATCCAAAGGGTCAGACTTTGGTGATTGCAGATGCCCAGATGAAATGGTTGGAAAACCAGCTACAAATTGCCAAATCTGCTGATAATAAAGTTATCATTTCAGGCCATATTCCACCAGGGTAAGATTTATGTTGTCAGTAAACCATTTTACATTGACAGTATCTCTCAAACCAAATATAAACCAGCTGGGAGTTTACAGAGTGGGGTCTACCACCTCTGTGAAGAAGGGGAAAGGTTTAGATTAATGTTGGCTTTATCATCAGAGACAATATCCATTGTTTTAAGTAGGAGGCCTCCACATCCAATGACCTCTTTATCTTTGGCATGTGTCAATAAGAACATGAGACAGGGGCCATGCCAAATGGGGGGCCAGAGAGTCAAAGCCATCACTCAAGGCATGTTCCCCTATGATCGTGAGCAGCGTGGGCATCAATACAAAGAAATAGTATGAGCAATGGGACCTAAATTGTCTATCTGATCCAAAGCTGCACACAGGGTAGTTAGCACAAAGACACCCTTGAAGAACAAAATATCACCAATTTGCATGCCTTAGGTGCTTTAGAGAGCGAGTTATAACAGTTGAGGATACGACAGTGTTTTCGTCGAAAGCGTTTGTTTGTTCGGGAGCCCTACCAGCTAAAAAAATGGCATATTCAAAATATCCATGTACGGGAATACCTGGCTTGCAGTGGAATATTGAGGGTCAAAATTCTTTAATGCGAGTTGGATATGCCGAAAATGATGTAACACTTTTGGCGAATGAAATCAATTCTTTTTATTACCGCGCAAATCTGTTTTGAATTCTAGAATCAACGCCTATGGTGCATTTGATGGATTTTGGGCACAAAACTACACGCAAAAGTATGTTGACCTTGTGACAAAGACATACAGTGACACTGTTATTGGTATGTTTTCAAACTTAACTTCAGAATAGCTAAACCGATTTCGCGCAACAAGTGTGGCGAATTTTAAATAAAACAAAGAGTTTTGAAAAGGATATGCTACACACTTTATTGTTTATAAGAATACCTAATTTTTCCCGAGCCTCAATATTTTTAAAAAATTTTGATTTCGAGCCTAAAATTATTCCTAAATTAATCTTGTGTGGCCAAGGGCGTAAATTCTCCTTAAGATCTAAGAAAAACTTCTTTTTTATGTGTTGCTTCATCATAGAATAACACAATAACAAAAACAGAACAATTTTATGTGGAATTAGAATACAGAATCTAGTCACTGAGTCACACTATAGAGTTAGTTAATCTCAAAGCAGATGAATGTATTTCAAACATATATATGCAGTGTAAAAGTGACAGTTATTTCACTTTGTGAGACAAATTAGATAAATGAAAAATGCAAGTCTTGATGAAGCTTGAGCCTCCTCTTGAAGCTTAATTCTTAAATTATTTTTAAATTTTAGCGGTTTTGAGCCTCAATATTCTTATAGACTAAATCATTATGAAAAACTTGTGTAGAAACGATTGGCGCCAACTGTATTCCAAGCAATAAAAGAGTCAATTCAATAAAAGATTTTTCAAATTACTCTTTCTTATCTAACAGAAAACATGTGAATGGAACAATGTTTGAGATAAAATTACGCAGTTATTGTAACAGAGACAAGCACCCTTGCCAGTGGAAGGCATTCTAGTAATTTTTGTTTAACGACCTGTGCATCTATATCGAGCCAATGATCCCATATTAAATTTGCCGTATCATTTCAAGAGGTGTTCCTTTCGCTGTAGCGATGGCCTGACTAAATGAACATTTCTGAGAAAAATACTTCAAGGGTCCATATGATAACAAAGAACCTTAGATTAAAATGAAGATTATGGCAAAACTTTTATTCTTTGTAATTTAATTTAAAGCCACAACATATGTTTTGATAAGAGCTTAGAGCTTATGCATGTGGTCTACGTAGGACATTCATGGTTATGTAATCTTTTTTCTCTCTGCTTTTTTCAGGACAGCTTTTTGGCCATATTCACAAGGACGATTTGAGACTTCAAATGTTGAATGACAAGGCTGGCAGTGTCGATACACACTCATCTTTTGTATTTACGGCACCTGGTATCACGCCTATATACAACAACAACCCTGGATTTCGTGTTGTCACGTTCAACACTGTCAAACGGTTGCTTACTGACTACCATCAGTATTACATGGACCTCGTTTTGACAACACGTAAGTTTTTCACACCCATGCCTCCTTTTGACTACAGTACATGCCAGAAGTCTAACTGATATCAGTTTCCAAGGTCAAAATCAATCACCCCCTCCCCCTACCCTCTTCTCCCCCATGGAACAATGTTGGGTTACTATGAAACGGGTCAGGATATTAGAATGCACTTTCTTTTGCGCTTCTTTTATGTTATTTCTCTAAATTATCAACATTGTTCTAGGGGGAAGGGGGCGGGAGTAGTAATTTTTTTCATTAAAGGAATGAAAGATATCAAATGCAGCGTAAATTGCTGAGTGTTTCAAGTACTTTTGGCAGCCATTGTAGATTGCTTTATTTGTTATAACACTGGTCTCGTTTCAGGTATCATAACTGTTTCATTTCGATATAGCATATTGTGTCATAGCAAGACAAAATCAGTTTTTATCAAAGAGAGGGAAGATCATCATGAGAGCTATAAAAAAGTCTGTCAGAAATGGTTTCAAATTGTAAGGATGCTATAAAAATGTTTAAAGCAGATTAGGCAGTCTATAATTTAGCGAGCTTCCAGTTAATTGTCAATTGCAGCTTCGGAAAATAACATGCTTAATTAAACAAGCAATGTTCTGACGAAACATTTGTTCTATCTATGACCGTTAAGGCTATAGGGCTCACGATAATTGTTTCAGTAGCTACAACATGTAGGGATATTGAAAAATTTAAGGATAGGATTCTGGTTTAAAGGCTCTTGCACAACCGTCAGTTGGTGTTTAGTGTCAGTTGTCTTGAGAAATTGATTGCGTTTTGCATTTTCATGCAGTGCGAAATTAGGCCAGTTTTGAAAATATAGTCACAAGGCATTCCGGTTGCGCAAGAGCCTTTAAATCACAATAACATCGATGACATATTCCTAAAGGTTCCTGACCTTCTGAGATTTAACCTGGTAAGGATTTTCTCAGCCGTACAAGGAAGGGTTTTCTCAATTGTGACAACAATAATTTTCACACTGCTGAACCTCCTCGGAACAGCAATGAGGTAGCGAAACAGTGGAGACCATTAATTGACAAGTCCACGTTAATGATAATAAATACATTTATCATAAATTGACGTCAACGCCAATGATATTAGTGACGAACCAAATTAAGTCACATTAATAAAAGGAGGCTGTCTCAGTTTTCTTGTGGACAATTCCAGGGAGCACCAGCCTACTCAGTCCAAAATACTGTTATTCTGCTGCCCCTCGTCAGTTTCTCTGATTGACTGGGTACGGTTGTTTCAGTTGTTATAATGTTAGTTTCGGTTGCTTCCCACGTAAGTGGTAATCAGTCCTATATGGTGTTATCTGATGTATGAAACCCGTGCTTACTTCAAAGTAAATCAAATTATGGTATAAAAATGCTAATATGTTTTCATTAGACCTGATTTATGATTAAAAATTGCCTTCCTTCCTCGTTAGCATATTTATATGGATTTGGTGCCTCCACTAAAATCAGGGCTAGAGTTACATCCGTCCTATCTATCTTACTATCCTTTAATGAGATGTAGAAGCAAAACTTGCGCGTGAATGGCGGGTAAACCGCGTAAATGCTGCGTCATTCTGGATTGCATAGTGAATTTATAATCGAGTTTGAAATAGCATTCTCTACCACTCCACCGAAATCGTTCCCTGGAAGTCTTTTAGCGTAGTGGGTTTGGTCATGTGTTGCAGAAATTCTTCCGTCAGAAATCTGAAATGCATCGACAATCTGGATACCATTAGCTTTCATATATCGATCGGCTAAGTCGTTGAATTGTCTTACTCTTGAAGGTGACGTGTTTTCTTTCCAGTCAATCACCGCCTGATCTGACCTCCAAGGCAGACTTACAGTGTTCACCCATATCACTTGCTTGCCGCTTCGCATCAGATACACCATGCTTTCTGTGTATGCAGCTAGTTTCTTCGTCATGAATTCGTAGTCCGTACTTTCGCGCAGTGCCCAATGACCGAAATTCATAATAAACAAATCACTTTCCATGGCATCTCCGGGAAATTGAGTGGAAAACTTGGAACGACGAACCTTTGGATGCATGTACTTTTCATATGGAAGGCTAATGTTGCCATACGTAAGCGGCAAGCGAGTACCTCTCGCGTCAAATATCCATTCTATTCGCGGGATTTTGTTAAAGACCATTTTAATGTGCGTCTTCGCGCAAGAATGGCAAGCGCCATACAGCCGAGTCACCCAATGATACGCCCTGTATCTCATGTGAGAATCTCCGGCAAATACCAGGCTCCGCCATCGACTTTTTGCTAGACACCGCTTCATGTCGTCATTTGAATAATGGTGCAGCTGGCATCTGTATGGAAGCCAACGGAACCCATGGATATGATCAAAGTTGAAATTTGGGTCACTCTGCCATGGGCCGCATCTCTCTAGCGGTGGAAAGAGATCGCCCAACACATTACCACATTTCACCCATCTTCCGCGTGCTTGACCACTTTCACGCTTTGTACAGTACCGCGTAATTCCGCGCGGTATCGTATTAGGAAGGACTGTTACTTCATAAGGGCTGCCTTGGATTTGCTTGAGAATTGGTTTCACATGGTGCTTATCCTCTAAGTTATCCCCATTGACGTATATCAGCATAACAATAACAACAAATTTGCCTGGTATAGACAAAAGTAGGTTTGCCGTATATGTGTTATTTTCGCTATATACCGCAGCAGCAGTGACAAGTTCATTATTGCTGTACGCCTGAACTCTTAGTATACTCCCATCTTTTATTCTTATCAAGTCTTGTATTTCCGTTGTACAATTTTCACTTGGCTCCCAATTGATTGTAACTGTGTGGTACATCCAAGCTATTGAAAAGTTACTGTGACTCACCTTATAGACACAGCTTGTTGCGTGGTAATCAACTTCACTCTCCTTTTGAATATTCTTGGTAATTTTTACTTTTCTCCATACTCTATTATACCTCGAAAAAATCGCAGCGCCTATTAAAATTGCTATCAGGCTGTAAACATACGCAAGCTTTATTCCGCTAGAATGTACCATAGTTTCTGTGACAATACCTTGTACTCTAATGCAATTCAATTGGTTGGGTTTCAAGGGCAATTCCCATCGTCGTGGCTACATTTTCTGCCCCTGTACGAGTATAGTTAACCAGTGCTCTTTTTGTTCAGCAACCAAAACACTTGAACAGTCTAAGTCTTGAAATCGTTCTTCTACGCTGTTATTAGGCCGAGAATGCTTGTCCAATGCTCCTAAAGGCGAAAATATCAATAGAGATTTGTTGTCCTCTCCTCATCTGTTGATAGGCCAGTAATTTTCTTGCAGTAACATCGATGTACGTACAATTTCTCAAACTTTAAGCGTGCTTGTATCGCACAAATACTTGTCACTTTGAACAATTATTTCTCATCAACATCCAACAAGCGGCTTGCAACTTATTGTGATCCACTATGAAACGTTTAATCACTTAGTATCAGCAAAAAACGTTTGAATCACTTTACCAACCATAAACTTGAAAGGTATTTCATGTTTTGATCATTTCGCATTGATTCCATAGCATCAATAGCGGGAGATAATGAAGCAATAGATACAGATTGGCTGTTATTCGTTGATGATCTGTTTTTCTTCGAAGTACCAGCATAAAGACCATAGATCAATGCTGCTTTTCTCTCAGTCCTAAAAGGCCTCGCTCGCACGTTTTAATCTATACCTGCGACAATTTTGGCAGGTATTGCAAAATGAGTGATTTTCTTTTATAATCAAGGTTGGCAAGTCTCACGGTTTGGCCGTCTCACTTACGCATATTCACATCTTCTCTCAGTCTCACAACGGGAGTTATTTTTCTCACGGATTTCTTTCTGGGCCTCATTCTTCTTTCAATTCAGATCAAACGCCTCAGTGGTTGCTGAACACATTCCATTCCACTACATTGTTTATGACAATCACTTGCCCAGACCTGTTGCGCGAATGATTCTCAAACACGTTAATGTATCAGTAGTATACATTATTATTGTTCATTGCTTCGATTGTTTATTCTTATGTTTAAAAGCCTGTTCTCTGTGTTTTTCTGGCATGTTTTAAATGTGAAATGAACAAATGTAAATGGAGTTTTTTAGTTTTTGGCGCCACAATAATGAATATCAGTTTTCCTCAACAATAGCGAAAAACAATTCGATTCCTTTTCTGATCGTTAAATTATGCGGTTTGCTCGGATTCGTACTTCATTTCACGGAATTTGCAATTCTATCAGTCATGTATTCTGCTTGGCTGGCCGAATTTGGCCGTCGACCGTAAAAATATTTTGGCCCCTAACCATTCCAAACAACTGACAACCTTAGCCATTTGTATGCTGATATCTTTTGTATTGTTTTAATCTTTGCCATCATTTTATACTATAGAAACGAAAATTCCAACATGGCTGTTTGATTACTCGTTCAGCGATAAATACATGAGTCATCTACCGGAAGACGAGAGATTTATAAATGGCAAGCTGATTTCTGACATAGTGGAGAGCTTTGTAAATCGAACTAACGAAAACAGGCATTGGCAGAATTACATTCAACATCGCCAAGTCAATTACCAACCTGATCCATACTCGAGATACAGGCTGTACTGCGCTGCCAAACACGTGACCAAGACAGCATTCGATGAATGTGTGAAACGATACCCTGTTACTGGCGGATAAAGTCATCTACATAAATTTACACTTTGTATTAAATTGTGAATGAGTTCTAATTTGGTAAAGAAATCTGAAACCTTTGCTTGTATAACTAATTACTTCGCTGTAAATTGATGGTTGGTATTTTTTTATTTTAAATGTCACCACGGGTCATTTCTCATTTTATCTCTCAGTGCTGTTTTCAAAGTACTGTAAAATGGTTCGGCAGGATGGAGACAACAAATACAACTTCTTGACGTATTTGTGTCTTTTCAGATCAACAAAAATACGTTTTACAGTACTGAGGCCTTTCTCAAGCACCTACAGTATGAACTCTAAACTGAGTCTAAATCTGAGTCCCTAAACCAAATTTCTACTGGGGTATATATGTGTTTTGAGGAATAATGGGCGAGGGCTGTATAATCATTACACTGCAAAATATAACAATAGATGTGGGCTGTATAGACATTACTCTGCGGAAATATTGCTGAGATCGGGGTTATAACAGAAGGCCAAGGAATTCTCTAATCTATGCGTGATAATTCTTGCATAAACTCTAACAATAGAACGGTATGCTGCGTAATGCTTATCGCTGTTGTGTCATGAGAACAGAGCATGCGAGACAATAGGGGGTTTCCTATAATGAATTAGACGAAATAGCTACGTTTGCATAACAGTGGGCCTAAGCGTTTTTTATAAGGGAGAATATTTTAAAGACTCATTGCTAACAATGAGCCATTGCGCTACGCAAGCATCCCATAATGCATTTTCAGACAGTCTGAAATCAATTATGGTTAATCCGTAGAAGTTTACTGCCATTGTTTGGATTGTCGCCTGGATAATTTGCCACCCTCGCAAAGGCTCATTGTTAGCAATGACTCTTTAAGGGAAAGAATCTAGGCGTGATAATCCTTGCATAAACTCTAAACAATAGAACGGTATGCTGCGTAATGCTTATCGTTGTTGTGTCATGAAAACAGAGCATACGAGACAATAGGGGGTTTCTTATGATGAATAAGCGAAATAGCTACGTTTGGATAACGGTGGGCCTAAACGGTTTTTTATAAGGGAGAATATTTTAAGGGAAATTTTTAACTGATTTATAAAATACAAGCTTAAAAGCAGAATGAAGCATGGCGTTGAATGCGACCCGATGTGCTATTGCTCAAATAGCAGACAATATCATGCTCCTAAAGTTAGCTCTATTAGAGTACAATTTACCGATGGGATAATGGTTTTCTAGTATTTCTTGCACTTGATGCTTCCATTCAATTACGAAGTTAAAGTTTTTTTACTTTCTCCAAAGCTTTGCAGAATCGAATTAGTTATTCGGCAATATAAATGTATATTAATTTCATATTTGCAACTGCTTTGTTTGTTTATAGTTTTTAATAATTTAATATTTATTTTTAGAACTGAATTGGCAAATGTTTGCTTTTTTTTCTCAGCTTTTCTCTTTTAGAGTATTGATATCCTTTATGAGGTCATTTAGCTCTTTAAAAATCCCTGTTTTTTGTTCATGACCAAATATAATGGAAGTGTGATACAACCAGGGTTGCCACTCGTAGGGATTTCTACCTACAGTAGGGATTTTTTGCCTTTTGTAGGTTGTAGGGATAAACATACGGGATAAAATGCAAAATGTAGGTATAAATCGCTCAAATTGTAGGTATAATCAAGATTAAAGAATTTTCTTTGGGTAAATTTTTATTTGCACAAAAAACATTGAACTCAATGAAATCCCCCGTCCCTGGTATGCATCTCGCGTTCAAAGTTGATCCAACACATTCTCCAAAATATATTGTAACAAAAAAAATTGAGGAACAGATTGGCAGTCCGCACGATTGAGGCAGTAATCCGAGTTGGTGAAGGGTTCCTTGGATGTTTTGAAGTTAGTGCTAGGCTATCGTCTCTCTATTCCAGTGCCAGAGGATCATATATGGAAAGAAACAATAATAATGACCGGGAAGACGTTGAGAACATTGAACAGTTTGACTGACTATTTACCTGAAGCAAATTTCCCTTTTTATTGTGTTAATTGGGTAGATTGATTGCCTTTATTTGGTTTATATTTTTTTAACTGCTACTTGCATCATATTATTATATTATATCGTTCTAAAGTTATAACAGCTTCATTAAAATAGACAGGTTACAAAGCGAATTGAGTTTTTTTGTCATTGTGTGGGTTGTTTTCGTGGGTATAATTTCGAAATTGTAGGGATTTGTAGGGATAATTGAGGAAAAATGCGTAGGGAGAAAGTAGGGAGAAAACGCATGCGCTGTAGGTATATCTGGCTTTCATACAGTGGCAACCCTGGATACAACGAGGCCAATGTTTACAACCATTGCTACGTACCAAACACACGTGACCGCAGACGTGCCAGGAGATATTAATGGACGTGGTTGATGTTTCTAATGGTCAGGAACAGCAGATTACCAAGTAAAGTCAAAGGTGACAGGTGTTAGAATGAACCACAGAAACGTTGTTAGAGTTGCATCACAGGAACACAACGAAACCTGGAGAAATATGGACATGGCAAAAGAAAACGATTCCAGAGACGTGCTCAATCAAATTTTAGGCCAACTTCAGAAGATGGGTAGTTCAAACGACGGCGTGAAGTACATGGTCTGGAAGAAAGGCAGGGATGAGCACGTTGATGTTTATGTTCGTGTCAGTGTAGTCAGCGTCGGGGACATAGATGCTGTGAAACAAGAATTTCAGTGTGAGTTCTACATGAACCTGCGTTGGAAAGAGTGTACTCTTGCAGAAAGGGAGATTGTTGAGGAAGAAGAATTAGATTTGGATTCTATTTGGGATCCAGGAGTTTACATCATAGATGCAGTCAACTTTGATGTTTATGAGCGTTACCAAAAGGTCCAGCCACCTAAAAATCCTGGTGACTGGCCTGAGGTTGTACAATACTATCACATTAAAGGCACTTTCAAAGAAGTCTTAGAAGTAAACAACTTTCCATTCGATTATCAGGATCTTGCTTTGACTCTGACATCCAACTGGCATGCTGATAAATTAACATTAGTGAAGGATGATGAAAAAGATGACAACATTCACACTTGGAACTTTTATGCCAAGCAAGAATGGGATTTGCAAAGGCATGTCATAACAGAAACTCTGACACTAAAACCAACAGAAGGCTCCTCTGGCAATAGCTATCCCCAGTACAGGATAAGAATGAATGTCATGCGACAATACAAGTTCTATATCTACAACGTGTCACTGATAATGTGTCTCATAACTGCTTTAACTTTTACATCATTTGCAGTCAAAACAGATGCAGTTGGTGACCGTATTCAAATAACATTGACCTAAATGCTAACATCAGTTGCATTCAAGTACTATGTGCAGCAATTTGTCCCAACCGTTTCTTACTTAACACTGTTGGACAAGTATGTATTAGCATGCATGGTGTTCCAGTTCTTCATGGCAGTTTATAATGCAGTCTCAGGAATGATCACCAATGCAAAAGTGTTGTCATATAGTGAATGGAGCTCTTTCTCTGCAGGTTTGGTCATTTTTGTTATAATGCATATCATTTTTGGAGTTATAAGCTGGAAAAAAGTCAAGTCTGCAGAGCATAAAATCTCTACTGATAGAATGAGTTATAAAAGCACAAACCCTGGGCAAATTAAAGCTGAAGATGTAAAGCACTGTGATTTTAAAAAAGTATCATTTCTTTAAGCTTTTTATCATTTTAGAAACTACCATTTTTGATACATTAATTGGCAGCTAATATTTACTTTGTCATAGATAGTACAATGTAGGTTTTCTAGGCTGTTATAAATAAGCCACCCTGGCAAATTCTGGGAGTTCCTTACAAACAGTAAACCGGGGGTTGGAAAAAAGCTTGAATACAAAAAGCAGTTCACAATAGACAGTTAGAAAGGGAAAATTTGGATGAATGTGGTTATTTTTTACCTTTGCCAATGTTTCTACTTTTTAGAATAGGTACAAAACTTTCATTTCAATAAACAAGTAGGAAGATTGGAAAGGCTTACGACACTATTATATTTTATAGAACCACACACAAATATTGTTGAATACATAAAATTTGATTATTCAACAGTGAAAGATTATTTATTTTGGTGCCCAACAAAACTTATGTTTTGTCTTGGCAAAAAGTGATGTATTTATAGCCTTGGCACCCTCCTTCCCAACTTATAATCTAAAAGTATTTATTGTAATGTATTTAAGATTTATATATTATTTATATTTACTTTACACTCAAATTTATAGCCTTGGCACCCACCTTCCCAACTTATAATGTAAAAGTATTTTATTGTAATGTATTTAAGATTTATTACTTGGAATACTTTCCATTAAAAAAATTATTATCTGAATTATATACAAGTTATTTAAAAGTTTTATAACTAATCTTTTGGTGGTACAAAACTTGAAAATGGCTTTGAAAAAAGCAAACATTTAGTAACCTAAAGCTTTTCATCTGACACTCTTCAGAGTTTAAAACATCAGAACATAGATTGAAAACTCTACACTAAGAAATATATATCTTGAACTCTATTGGTAACATTTTAAATAGGCAAGCAGCACTGATTGGTCAACCTCAATAGTCATGTGCTCATGTTTCTGATTGGCCTATTTCAACCCACAACTGGGTATATATATATTTCCTAGTGTACAGTTTTTGATCATTGTTCTGACGTTTTAAACTCTGAAGAATTCAGATGAAAAGCTTTAGTTTACTCAAATGTTTGCTTTATTCAAAGCCATTTGCAAGTTTTATCACCTTTAATCATGTTTTTACATTACCTTATATGACACAATGTAATGAAAACTTCATCGTAAAAACAGAGTTTTCAAATGTAAAGGTGAATTTCCACTTCACGGTATGGACGGAAAATGGTAAACGGTTCTGAAAGTTTCCACCCATAAATTTCCATTTGACTTCCTTTCCATTTCCATTTCGTGCAATGAAACATGCCAGAGGAAGGGGAAAGAAGGCATGTTTATGCTAAACAACTTTATGATGTTTTTCTTTTGAAAGAAGATTGAAAAGTTAAAATAGAAAGAAATACGAGAAGAGCATACAAAAGAGAAAAATCTTTCAAGAAAAAAGCAGAAAGAAAAGTTCCAGCCCGAAAACTAGTGTTGCTATGAAAAATACAAGTGGGGGCCCTCTTGTGAAATTTCTCAAAAAAGATTGCAAAAAGTAGAAAAGAGTTCATCATTGGCATTTACAAGGGGGGCTCTACAATTCTGTCTGCTTCCCCTGATGATAGGTAGTACTGTTTCAAGTATTTCAGTATCATTGTGGCTCAGTTCAAAGCACAGCTTGTTGCTGAAGTTATGATGCAATGCCTCGAACATGATTGGTTGAGAGGTCAAACGGTACAAATTCCGTGGAAAAAAGTTGCCTTGATTTCAACTTTTAAAAAACAAAAAGCGATACGGTAAGCATATCGTTCTTGAATGTCAAACTATCTTCTGCGCATGCTTGTACCGTATACCGTTTTCCGTCCATACAGTTAAGAGAAAATCCACCTTAATGATCTGATGAAGAGTTTTATTCGAAACATTACAATTTATTAAACTCTAAAATGTGGAGAGTCGTTATTTAATTAAATATTAATTTTTGGTATTTTTAAAACACAATGTTGAATCTCTAATTCTATCTTTCTGTTTTGTCTCTGATTAGCACCAGAATATTCAATTGTTTCAAAAATTAGAAACTACAATTTTAAAGGTGAAGGTGTGATCTTTGGCTATTGTCTGGCCCTCCAATTTCCTGTTAAATTTCTCCTGCTCTCCAATTTCCTGGTCTTTAGAGCACTGTGTATTTCTTTACAAGTTCCAAAAGGCCTCATAAAAAGGACATAATTGTTGCATATGCCCAAAATACCCATGCTGACTTTAAGAACCTGAGCCCATATAACTGCCCTTGCATTATACATTATAGCTGTAACTGAAAAATGCTCCAAGGTGTGCACAGATCATTATTTGTTATTAAGCAGGGACTTTTCCCTACACCCTTTGAATATGTTGTTTCTTTTATCACCCCGCCAATTTAGCCCTATTTGTTGAGTGACTTAGTGACAGGGGTGTCACATGCACCCCACATCTCCTTTCATTAGTGACGGCGTCAGGACATGTCAGATGCTTTCAACATACCCCTAGCTACATTTAAAAATGCACAAAGTAACCCACCCTTCTAAATAAAGCGTCTTTATAAAAACCCAATCAATTTTCTTCCACCTTCTGGAAGTGCCATAGCAACTGTCGACCTACAATTTCTAACAATTTCTAAAGATTTTAGACTCCATACAACCTGAACTATAATTGAGCCTCTTCCCTCACCAATCGGGTGCATTTTCCAGTATCTTGCTGAGCTCATGCTTGCCCACCATTAATAATACAAAGAATATAGGAACATAAATAATGTAATAAAGCTCTGCGTCGTTAAATTAATACTGACTACCAAAATTTTTTACTGAATCAAAGCTAAATTAACCGAAAGACACAAAAACTAGGGACAGGGGTGTCGCATCTTCCGCTCCCTGGTAGGTCTTTCCTTGATAATACGTCACAGTATGGTTTTAAGGGATTTATTTTGTGCTTACCATCATAGAGCTTTTTGTTGCCAAACGAGTTCAATTTACAATCATTATATCGGGTTGAAGCGCAACTGTCTTGTCCTGTATCGATCTTCACAAAAGGGCTAGGCTTCAAGAGTGTTCTTAAAATTATCTGTTTAATTCTGCGTCTATTTTGAAAATTTCATCCGCACTGCGAAAAAACGTCAAAACATCGATCTAAAACTCAATGCTATGGAATACATATATACCCAGGATCGATATAGGCCAGTCATACAAGCGAGCACGACTGTTAATGTTGCCCAATGAGTGCTGCTTACCTATTGGAAAGAAGAAAGTGAGAGTAGAAAAAAGAAAACAATGTTCTATGACTACCATTTTCGCTGTTTCCTTATTTTTCAAGACTGTCAAATCAGAGCAAATATTCAAATGTCCAAGACTTCTTCAATTTCTCTTTGGAGACATAACAGCAGTTTAGTATCAGGAAAAAGGGGAAAACAAATATATACAAAAATTCACGAACTACTGGGCAGGATACAACTTAAAAATGACGACAGGGGGTCAAGGTGTTCCATTTCAAAAGGAGGCAGCGGGACCAATTTTACAACGAACTTTCGCACAAGTATGACACAGAAGATTGTTGTTATTGGCGTAATATGCAGGACATTTCATCACACCAAGTTTTAACATATCCGGCTAAACGTAGAACCGAGGGGTTGCCAGGTAGTGGTTTCTTCTGGTCCCCTGGCGAAGATGCCACTGATACATAAATGTCCAATAACAACATTCTTACTTATTTGTTGGCATATTTTCAATGTCATTTTAACATAGTTCTGGGAAATATCATTATTAGCAAATACCTTGAAACGGTGAAACGGGTGTGGTTCTTAACAAACTCATAATTGAGAAACTAAGCTTGAGCAAAATTGTAAGGAAAAGTTAACTGTCGTAGGGGATTCGCAGGGTTTTGGGGTGGGCATGTATGCTTGTTCTTATCTTTTAATTTGAGTTCCTGACCACATTTAATGCAGACTTGACTTCTGTCTCGTTCATGTATCTTTTTGTGGCGCTTCAAATGCGATGATTGGGTGAAACTCTTATTACATTCATTACATTGATAAGGCTTTTCGCCACTATGAACGCGCATGTGCGACTGCAGATGTATCATTCTTGTGAACCGGCTATGGCAGACTTCGCAGTGGAAGGGCTTCTCGCCACTATGTACAAGGAGATGCCTCCGCAGGGTTGAGGACACCGTGAAAGACTTCCCACATTCTTGACATGAAAAGGGCTTCTCGCCTAGCAAATATAGAAGAGAAAAATATAAGTTACTTTAAGTAGAAACGCAGCAACTTAGAAAACCTAAGACAGCTATATGTATTCAAAGCTCCTTGCTTGACCTGTAGTATCCAACGTCATAGTCTTGTCATGAGTGTGCAGTACAACCACTGATCTCAAAAAAGACTGGATCGAAGAGCCTATTGTTCTCCTTTATAAGCAAGAAAGTGAACGAGGCTCTCTATGTTGGGACCTCTCGCGCTTAGGGCTGCCATGGGTAAAAACGGTATAGATACAGTGCTGCGTTTTTAATTATGCATTAATCGTTAAATTCTTAAATAATTTAAGAGACAACAGGCCTAGGAAAATAAGTGAACAGGGGACTCTCCCTTACATAAACTGAATACCACGGCAAAAATGTTTACGGTCACTTACGAATGCTGCAAGTTCTTTGTTTCTAAGGTTATTTTGAATTTTTCTTTGAAAAAGCAAGTTGAACTGAAACCAACATGGTCACTCTCTAGTCTCAAGCAACACGGCGAGGTCCTAACATGGACGCTGCAATGTGGAATAAACGCTCGGCTGGAGAAGCTAGATCCAGTCTTTATTTGAGATCAGTGAGTACAACATACCAAAAAACTGCTTGAAACAATGAAAATTTAAATAAGTAATGGCATAATTCCTGTGTATCACTACAGGTAGCTCCATTCGCATCAAGATGGACATCAGTCTTGTAATCTTAGGTCCTTTGCTAAGCCTTGTGTTAACAGAGACTTTGACAGACAGTTTCCTCTTGAAGTTAAAAAGGAAATCGAAAAGGGACTTTGCAATTTTCTTTTTGTGCCCTTGCTTAGTCTGTCTTTAACATACTTCAAATCCCTTCTCGGCTTTATCCTCAAAGGCAATTTTGTTGGGGAGATGAGCAAGAGAAATGTTTTTAATGCGTGAGGCAGCTATCCGCTCTGGATTCAGAGGGCATGCACATGGAACGAAGTTATTGCGCATGCTCTCTGACGGAGGATTGTTTCACTCATTTAAACATTTTCACTCGCTCGTCTCCCCAACAAAATCATCATGAAAATTCCATCATGGGCAACCCGTTCTTCCACCAATTCTGTTACTCCTTCTCTGTTAAATTAATTACTCATAGTTGCCTGATTACCTATAGCATGAAAGAAATAAGGTTTACATAAAATCAAAACACACCACTATGGATCCTCTCGTGATCTTTCAAATTACTCAAGAGAGCGAATTCTTTTCCACACACACTGCACTGGTAATCCTTCTCCCCAGTATGTTTTGTCAGGTGGTACTTCAGACTTGACTTTCTTGGAAACCCTTTCCCGCAGGTCTGGCATTTAAACGGTTTTTCATCGTTGTGTCCCCTGAGATGCATTTTCAGCGAACTGCGGCTTGTGAAACGCGTTCCACATATAGTGCACTGATGCTTCCTCTGTCCAGTTCTGTTGCAAAGATGCGATTGTAAGAATGCAGCTGCTTGGAAAATCTTGCCACATTTCTCGCATCGATGTCCGCTGTTTTCTTTTGGTAAATGCATCAAGAGTTGGTGGTTGCGAAGTTGACTCTGCCTGCTAAACGATTTGTCGCATTTATCACACGACACGGGTACGTCAAGGTCCGAATCAGCTGAAAAAGTTCAATCTTTTCTCTTATTTACATAAATCTTTAATCGTTATGTCCAACTACTAATAGGGTGCTCGCTTTTGTCAATTTTTTGCATAAAAAATCGAGTCAGCATAAAAGCTATCTCCGTTAAAATCACATTTTTATTTTTATTGCTCTTTTGTTGATTGACAAGTGAGTTCTAACCAATCAGAATCGTTTCACAATTTATGCTGGCAAACACGTATTGGATACCAAAAATTTATGGTGACAAACCCTTCGTGCAAACATTAATAAAGGTTTTGACAGACTGAGCAATTACGATAGGGAATATGAATGAGTGTTCAAAAGCTTGATTGGAAGAACAATTCTTCTGAATAAAATGTGTGTTCTTCACTTCGTAATTTTACCTAATATTTTGCCATTCAAAGACCTGTAACTGCTCGACAATCATGACGTTTTAAACTTCATACAAGGTCAAAAAGGGACTAGACTTTAGAATGCTGAAGATTAAGTGTAAAGAAAAGTGACACTCGCCGACTTCTAGTTAGACTGTGTTAGTTTCCCTACGTTATCTTGGTATAAAGAGATCAGTTGGCAGCAAGAGAGCAGTAAATAATCCCCCCCCCCCTCGCCATTCTTTAGGCTCAATCAACCAGAAACGCCATTCTTTAGGCTCAATCAACAATATTGTGTTCAGAAAGGGAAATTGCCGGATTTTCAAGAAATAGGCAAATCCTAGGACACATACGAAGTATTTTCGGCTAAAAATTATAAGAGAAATGTTGATGGTGCTCAAAGTGCGACTAAGTTGACACTCGGATATGTATATGCCTTTTCATGTCCTTACGGATATGGAGACGGCAGTCGAACAGTGGTCGAGCATCGCCATCAAGACGAAACCCCTCATCGTCATGAAACTTTTTATATCTTGACAACAGGTAACTATAACCTGTAACAATGCAAACAAACATTCTTACGACAAGCTTTTAAGTAGATAAAAAACGAACTGATTTTTTGAGTTTTTATCGATGGGAGGGGTTGAGAAAATTTCGGCTACATTACCATGTGAAACTTTTCGCTTGTGAAATCAATTTGAACATGTCTGGTGAAAAAATTTCGAATTGAAAAAAAATGATTGAAATCTAACTAGACAAAAAAACTGAGGACAGAGACACTTACCCTCGGGTTCCTTTGAAACAACGGCCATTTTATTATCGTTTTTCGATGAAGAAGTTTGCAGGAGTGCTTTGAGAAAGAATTCTTTAAATAATGGGTTTCGCTTCAGCTCATCCATGTGATCTGGGGCTAAAACCGGTAAAGAAAGTCTAAGCTTCAGGATCTACTGAGGATCGACTTTATCAACTACAATCCCGTTTAAACTTAGTCCCAGCGACTGTTGTAAAAGTAGGCTAGGAAAAGCAACAGTTTCTGGCTGCAAAATCTGGAAATTTAAGACACCCTCTAAAACAATATCAGAGAAGAACCACATTGGCTGAATTTAAGCTCTGAAACTTTTGCTGATCACCAAGGGCCGAAGGGGCATGCCAAGAGAAATACAGAAACATTTTGGATAGCGTTTCAAGACTATTATTACATTCGAATTACACCCTTTATATATTTAGCAAGCATTTTATTATATTCGAATTACACCCTTGAACAACGGGCATGGCTATTGACGTCTAGTACTTAGCAAGAACACTGAATGTTTAGCCACTAATTTAAAGTTCAAACTTACACATGAAAGCATTGGTGCAGTGATCACCTGTGGTTAGTCATACTACACAGCAGGGACACTGGAGAGCGGGGATGTGGGAGGGCCAATGGGGGCAAAATAGCCCTTTTTATTAAAATGATACCTTGTTCTCGGCCTTTTGTAATTATTAAAGAGATTCATATAAAATCCTGACTGTAGTGGCCTTTACATGACAAAATTTCTCAAAACTTCTACAAAATGTTCTTATGACAGCAGGAAGCCCATTTACAAGATGCCTACAAAACATTGAAATAAAATGACAGTTACAAAAGAACTAGAAGAAGCTGGGAATTTTATTTTCAAATTCCCTTTTACTGAAGCCTGGCCCCCCTTGTCCTTTGGTTGTTCTGGCACCCCTGCTACACAGGGAGAGAGGTGGTGTTTTCAGAAATTCTCATGTTTTGGTATAAATTGAGCCAAAAAATATGCTTATTTGGAAAAAATTAAAACTTTACTTGAAAATACAACAATTGACCTATCAAAAAAACATTGGTCTCAGTTCATTCAATCAGGAGCATTAATAACAATAAATGAAATGGATACAATGTTTGTAGTTTATTTGAGAGATCAATCTGGCTGAATGGATTCTCGGGCAATTTTTCAAGGCAGTGGTGTACTCCTTCTGTATGTATCATAATAAAACTTTTAAAAAATATTTTTCCAACTGTGATCAGACCATGAAACTTTTAACCCCTGTGAAGCTACCTAATATTAGAAACGTCATGACCTGTTATACTGACATCAAAGCTATGAAAAATTCACATAAAGATTTGCCATTACAATGAATTACTTTTGGCTGAAATTAAAATACATACCTACAACACGGATGTAGCCTTCAAAAAAGGTGATAGTTACTGCTGTAACCCCAGTTCTTTCATACCATTCTTTTACCTTAAAATTGCAAGGTAAACATCAACTGAACTAACAACTAAGGTGAAACACAATTGGTATGTTATCAAAAAACGAATAGCAGACTCAATAATCAGCTGAAACTTTCAAATAAACAGCCAAAGCAAATTGGCACTGAGGCTGTTGTTCGATTGTTTCATTTTCATTTTGGATTTTAAAACTTTTTACGCAAATTCCCTTTCAGCCATAATACAAATATAAATAAGCTACATCTATTACAATGACTTCTTTAATATATATAAAATAAAGATGTTGCTGTTCTACCTGGGGATCATGTTTTGTTTTGGGAATTTATTAACTTTGTAGGAATCCCTTCAAGTTTCTTTTAAAAATGGAAATAATCATTTTTACTCAGCATAGGGTAGATCTGTTGGTTTACTTAATATGGCTATTGCTACTTGGCTGTTCATAGTGGATGATATGAGCTAAAAAGGTTGATATAAACATAATTAGCAGTTCATTTTCACTCAAGCATGTGCACAAATGCGGTGTTGCTGGTGATAAATGGTCATAGGCAAACATGCTTGAAACTTGGATCAAATCTGTTATTTGCACAAAAAGTAGAAATCTTTAACATCATTGAAACTCAGGTCACTACCCTCAAGGCTGCAAAAACTTACAGACTAAAAAGGCAATGAAGTTGATAAATGATCCTTGAAATAAAAAAGCATTGTTACTTACATTGTGTTCAAATAGTTCTAATTTACTTTTATTGTATGCTGATTGCTCTAGTTTATTGGTTAACTTTGTCTCCTCAAAATCATCAGAATCCTCATCCTAAATAAGGCAAAAAAGTTTCTTGATATTAAAATTCCTTTACATACTGCTTCAACTACATTTGCTTCATTAAACAAAACAGAAAATTATTGAGAAAAAACATCAAATTATAAATGAACCAGTAGTTACCTGTGCAACCATTGCCCAACCAACACATACCACTGCCAACCATGGTACAACCATTGCTTTCCATGGTTGGGCAAGGTATAAAAATTATATAAATTATAAATATATTTGTGGCAAGCCATTCCAAGTGGGTAACTTGATTAAGGGGAGAGAATTCCCTATGATAGAGCATTCTATAAATAAAATGGACCCCTTCTAAGAAACTTAACTGTTATATAATTGTGTGTCATTTATCAATAAATAATTCTACACCACCCTTCAAATCTTATAAACCTTAAATTTCAGGCTTTGAATGCAGATTGCCCTTTAATTTTGCAAAATATTATGTCTCATACTAGAATCTTATGATAATTGGATGACATATGTCTGCAATCCATACTGAGAACAAGATTAACTTAATTTAACTATTTTGGTTCATTTACTTCTAATTTTTTGATATCATAATAATTTGCCATAAAATTTCTGCAGCACGAAATCTCTAGCTTGTTGTGCAAATTCTCCAGAGAATAGTTGTGAAATAATTTGGAGAATCTTTGTGGCATAAAGAAGGACCTTAAACAAGATATTCAAAGAACAGGGCAAAAAATTGGCGTTAACTGGGGAATAATAAGGTAAACATAGTCCATATGATGGTCGAAATATCAGGGGAGGTAATATCAAATTCAATACTAACACTTTCAATGTAACTTGGTTTATCGGCTGTGTGAAGCTCTTTTGAAACACAACTTCTTTCTTGTCGAGTAAAACTTTCTCCAGGTTCACCGCGGCCTAGGCCATTGGCAGAATTATTAGAACGCAAATGAGGTAGAACATCAGAAGATTGGACTGAATCGATGCCCAATTCACTTGCAACATAAGTATCAGTATTACTTTCTTCTACTGTTGCTTCCATTGGAAATTCTACTCGCTCGAAAGCTATTGAAATGACAAATAGCCTAGAAAAATAATATCAATGAAATCCCAGGGTCATAATCATCAACACACATGCAAAAACACTGTTGTTGTGTTGTGATTGTGACGTAGATTGTGATGTGGACATGGTTGTGTACGGTGGCCCTTGTCATCTACACTCTTTTTAATAAGAACAATTTTATAAGAACACGAGCCTCCAAATTGGTAAAAAGTTAAGAAAAAGTTAAGAACAAGCTGAGGTTGAACTACTGTAAACTGCATCTCTGAACAACGTTTTTTCTCAAAATTGAGGATTATTAGCAATGTGTGAGTGCTTTTTCGGTGAATATTCACATTTGTCAGCAAATTAAAGTTGTCTGACTCACTTTGTTGGCAAATGAGGCTTGAACACCATTTTAGAGCGAAGAAGAAGCTAGCACTCGCACTGCTTACAGCCTATTAGATTAAGAACAAATTAAGAACGATCCAGCCTCAGATTTTTGAAAAAATTAAGAACAGTCAGCCTGAACTCAAATTTACTGGTTCTTATATTGAGTATCCCTACACAATATCCCTTACACTAACGATATAAAATAATTTACTAATAGCAATGACATAACGTAAACTTTGCGTGCATGATCTGTAATATTCTGGAGAAAAACTTTTGTTGATGGCTATCTCACTTTTGTTTGCTACTCTCAAAACACGGGATAAGTGAATCAGTTGTTGACTGGTTCAGGTCTTATTTGTCACAAAGAACTCAAATAACTTCCATCGAAAACTCGCATTCGTCTGCTAAATCTTTAACCGTTGGAGTCCCACAAGGGAGCGTACTTGGGCCCCTACTTTTCTTAATTTTCGTTAACAACATACCTAGTTGTATCAATCCAGAAAAATATCACTGGAACACCACGGCCAATCCCTAAACCGCAAGGAATCATTTGAATATCTAGCAATGAAGTCAAATGAAAACATGACCTGGACTGATCACATATACATGTTAAGCAAAAAGGTTTGCTAGAGACTTGGAGTACTGCGCCGAGTAAAGCATCTGCTACCTCTGAATGCTTGTTTGACCCTATAACACAACCTATTTTCGATCATTCTGACATAATTTTGGGGGACAAAAATAACGATTTTCTCATGAAACAATTACAGACTATTAAGGCCATCTATGTACTTCTGTCTACAAATGTCTACACAACCTTATAGATTATGATTTACACTTCACCAAAAATCAATCCATACACGATGTGATGAACCCCCTTTCGTAATGTTGAAATTCGAGACACCAGAAAAGACAACTGCCGTTACGTTAATACGAAACCCTGTTGCAAGAACACACAAGCCTAGATCTTCGTAACTATTTACTTCGTTTTGTTTTCGGACAATTGCAGCTATTGGATGCAGGGATTTTGTAAGTAATTAGTAAATTATATTAAACTATCGGACATATATCGAACTATACTACTCTACTATAGCTTTACTCGTTTTCAAACACCATTTTGTTATTCATACCGTATGTTAGCATTATCCTTTGTCGCTGTATCGTTTTGTATACGAAACTTATATCCTAAGAAGTATGTATTCTCGTTTTAGTTACCGCATTTATTCAGTAAGGCATATGAGTCAAGTCACTCAGTCTATAGTGCATACTGTGGTTATATGCTCGCCAAAAGAGTAACGACTACCCTTGAGGGCGTGACAGAACCATCTACCAAAACTGGGGCAAACAACGATTTATGTTTCATGCAGCCTCTGATTGGAACAATTTAAAGTTATCTTCCAGACAAGCACCCAACATTTATGCTTTTAAAAGTATTGTATATGATTTTTTTTTTACTTTTTTTTCCCTATTTCACAAATAATTGTATCTATTATTTTCCCTATTTCACAAATAAATGATATCTTCTTTGAACCAGACTGTTTATAAAAATTCAGTGTAAATTAGCAAGTATTTTATAAAAGGGGCATTTTCCGGCGTTCTAATGGGCGTTGCCTCAAAAAGTTTCAGGCGCACCCATTTCAGCCCCTCTACTTTTAGACTGGTACGCGGTCCCTGGTTGTATACAGAAGTCCATTTGTCTAATAATGTATCACTAGGGGGTTTATCTGTGTTATGACATGTGGTTGATTAAAACCGGTGTTCTTTTTGCTGTAAGTCAAATCGAGTTCTCGAATAAACTCGTAGTTGGCTTGGTTGCCGATAATTTTCCTGATAGTTTGGAGCACTAATTCTCGATTTGGTTGTTAAAACAAAAAGTCATTAGGGATTTTTAAACTTCAAGAGCTTGAATTTCATTTCTTCGTTCATCTTGTTCCGTAAACCACATGCGACAATTTTCAAATAAATGTGGCAAATAAATCATCACTAGGTACCATCTTCTATCAGAAGGTTGGCTACCATGACCCTCCAACTATCCCAAAATCTGGGTTTTGATTTGATGTCATGGTCATAGATAAATTTAAGGCAAATGAATACGAATCCTTTTAATAGGAGGGGCAGGAGCCCAAAGTGCCATTTACCTAGAACTGCCCCTGAAATCGAACGTTTGTAATATCAAAAGATTCATATGAATTCTGACTGTACTGCCTTGTTCATGACGACGTTTCTCAAAACGTGCAAAGAAAATTCCTATGCCAAAGTAAGCCGATATTCAATCAAAACAAAATGACAGTTACAATTGATAGAAAAAATTGTTGGTAGCTGGGAATTATTTTTGAAGTGCCTATTTGTTCAAGCCCCATGGTCAATCCAACATCCCTGAGTTTGTCCAAAGTTGCCGCATATCTTTCCCAATTTTTCGGTGACTCACCGAGTGCAAATCTGCCGAAAATTGCCAAAGGCACATTATTATCCATAATTTTCGAGCCAAAAATGGGAAAATTCTGAGGTATGGCTCAAATCTTCTGTCGAAACAAAATATCTTCCTGATTTTCATAAGGAACGGGGTAGATGATGTCACTGACAACATAGAGCGTAAGAAGAGGCCCAAATTGGCAGCAAGTCACAGAGGATCCGAGGAGGCACCGATGCACAATGGTGTCGAGAGGTTTGAATGTTTAAAAGTTTAAAATTGAAGTTTGAAATAAATAGGAGATCACCTTAGCTACCAGCGGGCAAGTAGCCAGCGAGGGTGTAGGGGTGTGACAGCCCCCATTTTAGTAAACAAAAGGTCTAATTTTGTTGATAATCGTCGGTCGTTAGGTGGAATAGCACCACCATTATTCCTCAACTATGTTTCTGTCGGTTAATTTTACTAATGATGACCGTAGTCTGGAAAGTCAAACTACGTCATTGGTTACCAGTCACTTGCACCATTATGTGATAAAAGCAATACCCTGGGCACTAGACTCACAGGTATACCCTGGGCCGGACTGAAGTCTCAGTTAAACGTAAACAGAAAACGGTATGAATTGCTGTAACACATATTATATTTGCTTGTGGCTTATATAAAATCTCATTAATTAACGAATATTTACAGAAACTGCGGGTTAAATAGTGTAATTACCAGGAAACAATCTATTCGAAGATAATTGTTGTCTGGTTGTTGTCCGTTTTCAAAACCAATAAGACACGAAAGAAATATCCAAAACATGGCATCACAAGAAAGGATAGAAACAAATATTTATTCTATCCTTTCTCCTCCGCAATCACATTGCCCCTTCACAGCTCGGTTTCTCCCTTCCAATAACATGCATTTTCTCATAAAATTGATTAAAAATAAAAGAAACTTTTGGATAATCTAGATATTGACCCACTACACCCTGGAATTCAATTAAAAAACAAGGTATTTTCCTTTCCATTGTAGATATATAATTTAAAATGCTTCGAAAAATACAAATAAGCGATAACTTAGCGCGTTGTACCAAAGCACGCTCGATTTTATGTGGCTTTGGTACCAGAACTGGTCCCAACATTTTTTTTCGTCTTAAAAACTTTAATTACCTTGCCTGTTTCCAGCCAAGGCATCTACAAAGTTTGTTTTCTTACAATCTTGCTCCTTGAAAGAAAAAATCGTCGAAAACTAGAAAATTCAATCGATTGGTTTAATCCTGGTGCCTTTAGAAAAACGAATGCACTGTACTTTTCAAAACAAGCAATTCATTGATCTTAAGTCTTAGGCGGGCGCTTACTTAAATTCATCAGTATTACAATGTCCGCCAAAAACAAGCGGGCCTTTCTTGCGGCCAGAAATTCTTCTCTGGAGTTAAGAAGATTAGCCAATTTGTATCTGTGAAGTTCAAAAGTAGCTATGTATGAAATTGTTGCAGGGAAATGATTGACGCAGCATAACATTAGCAAACCAAATGTTTTGATGCTAGCAAGAAGTGTATGTAAAGGTATTATTTTTAAGGTATTTATAACATTGCACTAATTGGTGTCTCCAGAAATTGCTAGACAAGAAATGGGATGATAAACTGGCCGGTTTTTACTTAACTTGATAAGCTGGTATTGCGTACAGTAACACCTCAAAATAACATATTTTTGTTCAAAGTATCGGGAAAGGGAAGCACCAAAAGTGGTGCTAGAATTCAGAGCCTAACGTGGCAACAATCGTTTGGAAATGCTAGTAACGAAAACTTAAAGAATATTGTCGACAAATGATTCCAATTTTCAGGCATGTTGAGCTATGCCTGGTTGAGCTTTGCAGGTTCTTAAGAAGTATATGCATCAATTATATGCAGATGTTTTGAATCCCAATATTTTTATTCTAGTGTTAAGATTCAGGCTACCGACCGGGTGTCATCTGAAATTCTTGGAGTGGCATCTGCCCCCAGAACACTCAATAGCATTGACCCTGATAGGTATCAGTATTTTGTGCTCAAGCTTGCAAACCTCAGCCAAAGATGAAATTGAAAAACTCCTATTTACATAGGGTTTTAGAGATGTTAAGGAATTTCATTTGGTAATCAACGTACGTACACGTGCAAGCACCCGAGTACCGCAAACATTTCTTAGCTCGTACCGACTGCAGAGCGGTATCTGTTTCCAAGGAATTTAGAATAAATCCAGACCGTCGCTAATTGGGGCATAGAGGTAGGGGGAAAGTGTGCTTAATCTAGAGGTGGCAAATGAGTCTTTGCGAACGTTATGGGATGCTTGCGTGCAACGGCTCATTGTTAGCAATGAGTCTTTAATCTAGAAGTGGCTTGTTGCCAAAGCCCCTCTTCCCCCCTGTGTACAATACTAGCGACGGCCCTTTTTGAAGCAAATCGGTCATCTAGCCACTGCAAGTTTAGCCAGAACGCTTAATACGTTTGCAAAATAACACTAAAGGCTTAATACGCAATAATTATAACCCCCCCTTTTTTTCGAAAATGCCAGCGCCATTACCCAAGAAATTGGATACTGTGAGTAAGGGAAATGCCACCTATTTAGTACTTCTCTTTTGGATACAATGAACTTTACTTGAGGCAGAAAGATATTGCTTTTCTTTGGCATTACCCATACTTTTCCTCTCCTAATCGCAATAAAAAAAACTATTTCTCTGCTTTCTCGCTTCCTTGTTGGTTGCCGTTTATCTTTGCTGCTATTCTACTTTTAAGTTACTTGCTTCTTTGATTTTTATAGCCCTAGCCGTGGAAAGAGAAAAACTCGCTTAGCCTCGACCACATAAACCAGATGCGCCTCCGCAGGAGTCATGTGAGGTATAAAATGCTATGAAAATAATTTCTCGCACTTCTGGAGTCACCTAAATTAAAAAAATATTGAGCCCTAATCCCTCTTCCCCCGCCTTTCTAGCAGCTGTAAAAAGAGGAAGCATATAATTTTATTTTCTTAGGGGGAATATAACAATAGATGCGTTTTACGAAATGTTTAACAAAAATCAAAGTTCGTAAATTATTATAAAAGATGTTGAAACATCGTAAAACATTGTGGCCAAATGAATGAAGTATGTTTTATCCAAAATGTTGGTTGATATTTTTTGCCGGTGTTTTGTTCGTTCGGCCGAATCGTGTGTACCAGCAACAATCGGAAACGGGGTAACTTTCACTTTAAGGCCTCTCTATCGTTCATGACCTCAAATCCAAAGATCATGCTGCCAGTCGAGTTATAATTCTCAATTTCCTTTATATTCTATTGTAAATCTAAATTCGAAATTTAATGAAATGTTTGCTGAAGTTTGAATTCAGATAACGGATTCCCGGTTTAATTTCATTAAATCATTGGTTTTATGCCTTTTGGCTTGTCTGAGCAAATAGTCTTAAACATTCCATATGAATTACAGTAACTTTGGTATACGTCTGCCTTGCTGCTCATAATGTTCACGAAATTGTTTTGCAGTGTGCGTAGACAAGCAGCTCATCAAGTTCCTCTCTACGACCATTCTGTTCTAAGTTGATTAAGACAGTGCGGTTTGAAGAAACATCTTTTGCGACAGCGCAAATACGAAGATTGAGCTCGACCAAGCAAATTAGCAGTAATAAATCGCAAAAAAAATTAAATTTATCTCAAGGTTTGCTGATAAACGTTTGCTGGAATCACAAACGTTGAAAATTGAATTACAGTTGAGAAGAATCAGGTAAAAGCCCTAGGAGCTGTTGTGGCCGGCGTTTTGGGTTGTTTTCCGCAGATAATCGTGTAATGATTAGATATTTTCTGTGGTTTGCAAACATTGATGTTATGATCTGGAAGTCTAATAAAAAGATGCTTTAAGGAATTATTAAATTTCCGGGCGTTTTGTGCCAATAATTACCTGCAGTGTTCCTATAGAGACGTAGGAAGCGGAATACATTGGAATCGTCCAAGGTGGCTTGTTGGTTTACTGTTAGAAACAAGACGGTGGATTAAAATACAGTGTATTTTAAGTGAGATAGCATAAGAGACAAACCACGAGCAATGTCAATAAAGGTCTTCGTTTTATGCTATGTTGCTGTCTACAACTGGAATCCGATAGCGTAACAGAGCTGCAGAAACGTACGGATATGTCGAGCACCGTACCGGGTATTACTGCATAGAAAAATTATCATTCTTGCGAGGAAAATGCTGACCTAATTGTAATCTAGAGAGTTATCATCATAAAAGGTATTGGTAAAAAGACTGTCGGCCTAGCGAAATCAATTTCAGTTGATAATTCTCTTATGAGCTCATCAATATAAAAATCTCTTTTGGAGATTATTGTGAAGGATTGTTTTTAATGCGGGAGATGAAGTGTGATCCATCTTGAAGTGAAGACCAAAGAACGTGTACTGTTTTGAGAACTGGAAAACATCCTCTTGAACAATATGCCATTGCAATTGCTATTTATCTCAACTCTTATGATCATGAACACTGCAAATGCGGACAAGACGAACAAGAGTATTGTCTTTATATCAAAGCTTGCTCAATTAGAAACACAATACATAACATCACCGAGATGGCCTTTGGAGTATCCTACAAACTGCGATGTTCGTTACAAAATTGTCCAAAATCCGAATAGAGAGTTTCAGAATGGATTTTACTTACAAATAAAATGGCTTGAATTCGACGTGAAAGGTGATATGCAGAACTGCAGCGACTTTGCGCAAATTCGCTATGGGTAAGTCTTGAAAACATTTCTAGTGCCTTTTTATGTGCAATTTTTGAAATCCTGTGTACCTGGAGTAGAACATTTCACATTCTTCTGTGTACAAACGGTGTGTGAGTTGTGATGGCCAAACAGTTGCAGACCAAAACAATAGATACGATTGAATGAATAAGTCGATGTAAGCCGACAAGCAAGCAGTCTTTTGAAAATACGCTTTAAATCAAAATTGTAGCTTGATTTTTAGATGCTAAAAAAGATTTAAACTACAAAAGGTTTCGCATAACGTAATTGACACTTAATAGCAAATTATGTTGCTAACCTTTGCCTTTCCGCTTAAAGTCTTTTTGGAAAATGAAGCACTTCTAAAATATATTAGTACCAGTGAATTTTGTTTTGTTTTGAAAGCAATGAATTTTAACAGCTCAGACTTCTAACAGCTCAGTCTTTCCTAAATAAAGCATTCGGCAGCTTTTTACTAACAGTTTTTAAAAAAAAATAACCCACAATATTTGTTTGCTTCTTGTTCGATTGTTTGTTTGTCTATGGCTTTTTGTTTGTTTATACTCATATTATATCGGATAAAAACTGCAATATGGATTTAATTTAGTCTTGCATAGCTGCAAAACAAACTTCTGAGCTGCATTTTACATTCTAGCACCTTTTGAAACGTGCAAACAGACCTGTCGCTGCGGTGGGGTGTGGGAATGGGGGATTTGACAACCCCTTGGGAAAAATTGCATTCCAAAAACAAGGAATTTTACCATAAGATGGTGTTTTGCCGGCAAAATTCCAGACTTGCTCGCCCACTTTTTCGGCAAATCTGGTCACTTCCGCTCCCACCCTTTCCTCTCAAACACAATAGCTGGCGATAGCTCTGCGTGCAAAGAACCATTTACGTCATTAATGTGGCTTGAAACCTAGTAAACAAATAAAGAATTTCTAGAGGCTAAATTTATTGAAAAATGCGAACAAAATTTGCTGCTACAAAGGTTGGGATATATCTGGCAGAAACGTGATGCAGTCCCCTTCTGTTTCATAACCTGTATCCTAAAACCATCAGTCAATTCCACTAAATATTGTTTGTTTTCTTCTCATTCCCTTGTTTGCTAATCATTTTCCTGTGGTTTTAATTATTCATATGATGCTAAGTGAATTTTTTCCCGTGAAAACATTCAAGCAATTTAAAGTCCAAATTGATTTGATATCTTAGCGGTTTTGTGACTTTCAAGCAGTTATCACCAACCCTTCTATAAATTATCTTTAATTTTTAATACCAACATCATGAGATTCAAATGGCATTTAATATGATCAACGTAAAAGCTAGTATATTTCCCGGCAATATTAAATATTTAACAGAAACTTACTAACGCAGTCCAAAAAGAATTTCCGAAGGCCTCTCTGACCTGTAGATAAAGCATCGGCAAATAAGGAAAGAGGCGACGAATTTATAAGAACTAAATCATCTGACTGACGAGAAATAGGCAAATTATGGCAGCTTGCAAGCATCGCGGTATGGTCGTAGAAAACGCTATGAATTATAAAGCAAGTGTTTCAAATACGGGCTCTGACGACATTGGTTGTTCCGGAGTTAGGCACAAAATCTGTTGTTATGCAATCTAACACAAACTCCTACAAACCCCCTTTTTACCGATTTTGGATCCATCGTCACTAGCTGTAATTGACGCTTACTAGAGTCAAAAAACTCTGGAATTTTGTGTTCAATTGATTTCAAACGTGAAATCTCGATTAAGTCCGTCATGATGGACACATCCAATGAAATTATAGTCACCATGGGTTATAAAAACCCAAAAAGTGTAGATTTTTTCACTGACAATGTTCCTTTTTCTTTTTTATAGAAAGAACGAAGATCAGAAATTCACGTTTTGCTCAACGCAGTCTCCTCATACGATCTATGCAGTAGATCATGATATTCATCTCCATTTTCACTCTGACAAGGAAGATGTGGGATATGGTTTTAGACTCGCTTACCATTTAACATCGTTCAAAGAGACAATTGGCCCAAAGCATTGTCGGTGAGCAATTCTCCTTTCATACATTACGAAATTTTGTTTTGTACAAGTTGCTCTATTGACAGGTGTCATTTATATTTTCGTGCCGTTTTACATGTGAACTCTGATATGTAGTCTTTCACTGCTGTGAATATAACTTCACTGTCAAATTGTGTTACTATCGGTTTTAGGGAAGGTTTTAAAAATGATGAAAGCAAAGAATTGGAAAGTTTTCACGGGAATCGGTCAAAAACTATACCACTGTTTTGCAAACGACAATAAGAAATCAGCTATGCAATAATCGATTTAAATTGCATCTTGACCTGTTTCTGGAAAATCTACACTTAAAGAGAAATTATTTTAAAAGAGGCTAAATCAAAATGGCTAATTCTATATCAGCATCTTAAGTTTTCAAAAAAGCGTTCTAATGGAATTAGCTTTTGGTAATATTTAAAAACTGTGGATTTAAAAAACGGCTGAACAGTGTCTGCATGGGAGCTTTTCTTTATTAGCAGCTGTTAGATATATAACATGTTTACAAATTTAAAAACCATAGCAGATCTTTGAAAATTCAAAGACTAAAAAGTCTTTATTATTTATAAACAAACTATTATGATAGTCTTAGTGCCAGAGGTAGGCCATCACTGCAAGCCAGTATTGATTAACCCACTGTTGACAAATATAAGAAGCGCGTAAATGAATTAATCGCCTTATTCATTTCATTTTGCAATAAACATATAAAATAACCTTAAAACGAAATCTTCTTAAAAGCGCTTGTTCAGCGGTTACTGATTATTCTAAGCTTGATTATGTGACACAAGCAACCAGAACTATATACAAAGATAAAATACCATCGACATCCACTTTCTGTGAGGATGTCTGTGAAACTCAACACAGCCGTTTTTTATTCACAAGAACCTGGCTTCTATCCTGTTATCCGACCCCAGTTTTCCACCAGAAAACACACTATATCTGTTTCTTTCCTGTCAATGCAATTCCTTTTAAAAAAAATCTCGTTAAAGTGGCAAGCAACAATTTTCATAATCACTGAAAGTATACTCAGGGTGCAGTTTGCTTGATATCTTAGGATAATAGATAAATATTAAAAGATTTCGACAAAATTTTCCAATACCTGAAAAAGAGAAGAGGCTAGGTTCAAATACTAAACGTCTTTAATTTTTGCAAAAAAAGTAAGCAGTTGCTTAACTGCATCCTTGGGTATATCTAAGAAATGGGGGAGGGATTGAAAGATACCAGCAAGATCGCTCAATGCCCCAAATCCTTGCTTGTTTCATTGAATTAAACTAAAACCTTTGACTCTGTTTTATCTTGACAGAAAGATAATAGGAAGGTGTAGGATACACACTAAAGCATTTGGCTAACGGTGAAACATAGAACTACATGGCAAATGTCACCATCTTCAATCATCCGAGAGTCTATTTCCATTGCTGTCGTGAGACCCTTTATGTGAAACTTACTGCTTTCTGTCAGTGTAAAATTTTATAAACAAAAAATGTAATTGTAGATTTGCTTTCTGAAATGAAATGATAAGTAATAGTTTCATTAGTCGTCCGTTATTTCAAGCTCTCATTTATTCACAGTTGGTGAAAAACATATCTAAATTCCAGCCTTTAAACTAAGAAATCCTGCTTTTATTGCTTATCTGGCATTAAATCTGTCTGGACGAAAATGATTGCAGTACAATTTGTTCTCATAAAATCTGCTATACAGTCTTATAATGTGGATATCAGACTTGGTTTTATGATTTAGGCTTCGTCTATGCTCATCTTAGCCTGTATTTGAAAAGATCCTGGGCTATTATCACATGCTATACCTATGTCTAGAAGCAGCCCACGCTTCTTTTGAAGGGCATCTGGTTAACCGTTTGAGTTTAAAACATAGACAGAATAAAATTATTGGGGAGGGGGGGGGGGATTTATTAAAAACTAAAGAGTCAGAAGAGACCAGGAACAATAGTAGCTACAGCCTTGCTACCCTGGGTGCCAGACTCACTATATATGAAATAAAATAGAGAGTCTGGTCTAGTGCGCCCCATTCTCGTTCTGGTGTGCTTATATTAACCAATCAGGAGCGAGTGTACAGATTTCTGTACGTTCAAAGGTCACAGCGAAACAATAAACTTAGCTCTGGTGTAAAACATTGAACAGAACACAACATAAATAAATGCTAGCGACTGTAACGATTTAGTTTGAAGATGCTGTTAAAACTGTACTCAAAGAATATTTTCCGCATGTTGTGGAACTTAACACAGAACAACATTGAAAGCCTTGTTTGTAGAGAGAAGAGACACCTTCGCCATATTGCCAACTGGCTTTGGAAAGTCTCTGATATTTCAGGCAGTGCCTCTCATTGCAAAGAAATTAGGCCTTGTAGTGAAATGCAGTAAATAAGAAACACCGCAAGGCGCCGAGAACAAACAACAACAAACACAAGTAAATCAGTTATGGCTAATATTTTCCCCGGCATACGGGGCTTCGCTTGTCATATTGGCCATATTTGCTGTGGCGAACTTCCAACGTGATGATTCTAACCGCCGCGGTGTCCAAGCGCGCTGCCTTCACAGTGAGGAAGTAGACTGAAAGTACACACAATTTATGTGGAAAATTACAAAAGTCTTATTTTAAGTTGTATGCGAAATTTAACAATGATTAACATATAGTAACTGCATTGTGCTAACTTTAATTTCATGCTTCGCATATGCTTTTTGCTGCCAAGGCGTTTTACACCTGATTTGATTGGAATCTTGAGGCAGAAAAGTCTGTTATCACTGTATTAATAATGTCAACTTTACAGAACTATATAAAATACATTGGCTTTAAGATTTCCCAAAACTCCTCCGACTACTGAGTATCTTTGTTATTTATCCGACAGTCTTGTTTCACAAGCCTAGTCTGTTAAATAGACTTCAGTTCTTTCAAGTAAGTTCACCCGAACGAGAATGGGGCGCACTAGACCAGACTCTCTATTATTTTATATAGTGAGTCTGGTACCCAGGGTACAGCCTTGCATAATTCAATCTAGGTATCAACGAATTTCTTCAGGGTGCCAAAGTCTCCATCCTTTAGTCACAGAAAATATTTCAAAACTACGTCACAGAAATATTTATTCGAGCGACCACATCTGTCTACAAGACTTTACCCCCGGTTTCTTGAGGATCTGGGAACTAATATCAGTGACGCGTGTAGCTTTGCAAAGCAAAAGACTCAATTTAATTAATTTCATGAGGAAGAAATTCAAGAAGTTCATTGCTCAAATGAGTGTTTTCGCCATCTTTTGTTTCGCTGCACCAGGATCTAATCATCAACGTAGGCAACTTTTGAAAAGTGAAAAATCGTTCATCTCTACTCAAAAAACACAGGCAAACGTTAATGAAACTAAAAAATTAAAAAAAGTGAAAAATAGATTAGGAAAATGCCTGTCGTCCACCAAAATTTATATTATATATGAAAAGCTATATAGTAACTCAATGTAAAAAAACTCATAAATACGCATTCCTTAAATACGCATTCCTTAAATTATTTGATGAGAGGAGCTTAGAGTATGCTATACTACCCTCTCTTTTATTGTTCATATTCAAACTGATGCATTAACAAGAGTGCCTTGATTTATCAAAAAGCAGTGCAAGCCACATATAATGTAAAACTCTTCAATTGGTCACCTATTGATAAAATCACAGAATAGAGAAATTTTGTTATAAAGTCCTTTATATGCCATTCTGCATTGTCCTGAAGCCTGAGATAGTGCATTCTGGGAAGTTCAAAAAATGCTGTATTTTGAGTAATTGCACTGTTCTATCATAATTTGTGTCTTATAATCATGAAGAAGATAATATATGCCATAAGCTGGATTTTTTGCAAATTAATTTGGAAATAGTGTCGATGAGTATTCGATGACCTGGACATTTACTGCCTAAACGTCCATATTCCATAGAATAATAGCTTCTTCTTGTGTTTGTGAATGGAGAGATTAGGTTTGGAAGAGTTGCTCGGTCGTTCTGTTGCTCTGAATCTCCTTTTGCGGTTTGCCCCTATTTAAATTTTGACGTTTAAGCTTTACGACTTTCAATTCATTTTCAGGCGCAATATCCAACTGACATCACAAAATGGTGTTTTAAGTTCCATTGGTTGGCCTAGGCCAGTTTCTGGTTCGTGTGTTTTCGAATTCACATTAGAGGCAGACGAAGTTCTCCTGCTGAACATCATGGATTTTTCTGTGCCGAAGTCGAATGCAGATTGCAGTAGATACAATAATTACATAGAAATTCGAGGTAAGATGGGATAACATAGTCGCTCACAGAAATAAAAAAAAAGCCAATATGCAACGGATTCATAAAGTGAAGCAATCAAAAAATAATTTAATGTAAAAAGCAGTTTTTTGTATTTTTGTTTACTTTCCAGAAATAGAGGAACGTTACGGTTTCAAAGAAAAAGAGTAACGGCTCAAACCACGAGCCTTGTGGGATTCTTTAGATCTCTCTTCTAGATTGATAACAATTGATTGATAACCTATTTGGCCAATTCAACGCAAAAATCTGAAACGAGTTTGTTTTATCCATGATATAACATAAAAAGGCGTCTCTATTTTTTATGAAAGTATGAAACAATGTTCAAAGATTCATAGAATATACAAACTTGCAAGGATGTGACTATGCGAGAAAAAGGTATTTGATGTAGTGACTGGAGCGGAAGACTATTTAAGAATTAATCATTTGTGAATAGAATTAATAGTGTTCGAAGCAAAATTCGGTGAATGGGCTATAAGATTTTTTTTTTGAGATTGCGATCAGTCGATCAGTTTGGACATTTCAGAAACTGTTTACAGTTTTATTTTTTCTTTTGTAAACTAATCTATTTTGAATTAAAATTGACATGGTTTAGTAATAATTAGCAGAAAAATTTAGGTAAGATTTAAGATTTTAGGTTTTTTCATAGAAGTTATTGGCGGAGGGTCCCTTAATATCAAATGAATTGTGACTTTGCTTGAACTTTCTAGGTAACATGTCGAACAAGTCTTTCCAGGAAAGTTGCCCATTAACATCATTATCAAGTTGTGAAAACATACGAAGATGGAAACTGTCTTTTGAAAAGAGGCGATTGTATATTTACGTCAACACAGTAGAGATTAAAGGTGATTACCGAGGGTTTCTAGCAGGCTACACGGTCTACAAGAAAGGTAGGACAACTTGCAGGAAAACCTCTCTTGGTATTGCCATTTAGAAGTGCTCACAGATCTACTCGAAACATAGAGTTCATCATTAGACACGACCAAATATTTCACTTTTTCAACGGAGAAGATTTGAGAACCATGCCATGAACTTCTTGCCTGCTACCTATCTGAATATGTACCTCTAGGTTGACAACAAAACAAAGCTATAGTGTCAGCCAAACTTCATTTCTATTTGGCTTAGGAGACAAAGGGCTGTCGCGTCTGTCTTCCCCTCGGAAAACAATATTGGTGTGTTGGTAATTAAGGATATCATACAAGTTACAAGAAAACATGCTTTCCTCTTTCCAGATCTCTCATGCTAAATCGCTTTGTAGCCAGCTTAAACTGTCTGAATTATTTCAAGGGAGGCTATGAGTTTGATATGCAGACAGATTTGCTCGGGTTTGAGCACTTGGACACGTAGATACATTGCTTTGCAAATTAAAGTGTGACTTGTTTACGCCATCGTAGGATTCGATCGATTGATGCTGTCTTTTTCTTGCAGCAAAGAAACAAAGAAATACGATAAAACAAAAAGAGACAAAGTGGGTTTTCAACGCTGTGACAATTGGAGTTATTACTGGTGTTTTTATAGGCATTCTTATAGTGCTTTTGACTGTTGCAAGTGTCAGTATATGCTTGAAGAGAGGTGTTATTTAATCAAGGCAACGTGATCAATCAATTCAATGAATGCCCAAGACAGTGATAGTTGACTTGATCAACAGATTCACTGATTAAAACGCAAACTGTGTAAGCGTTTGTTAAAAGAGATGGATCGTTCAATCAACATAAAATAATTAACCGATCAGCGTGATCATTCGATCAATGCAAAGTAATGAACTGATTCTGTTCTATGATAGATAAATCACAAGAATTGATCCAGTGACGACAGACTTTTTGTGTCTGTTATTGTCAAAAGTAGAAAGAGAAGACCATAGAAATAGTGATTTAGCACAATGTGAGCCAGTACATCATCAGCTTCGAGAAGCTAGACGTCACCCCAAACTCCTGTTATTATCCGGGAAACCCAAATGGCAAAGTCAGTGTATAAGCATTATCACGTTAAAATTAGATATCTAGAACACAGTACCCATCCTTCCCTCCATTTTCACGGAATACATTGTTGTTATTTCCTAGAATTTTCCAAATAGTATTTAATAGTATAATAGTAATGCAATAAGGACTCGATGGCCGCCTGTCTTTCCTCGCTGACATTTCCATGATACCATTTTATACACGATGGCGTCGCCACGGGAAGACACGTCCCTACAGTTCTAGAAAGAATCGATTTTATATTTTGTCTAAATTCCTCGAGAAATGTAGGAGAAGGTGTAACATTTCGACAAAGTATTATTTGTTATATGATTTTATAACTAGCTTCAAATAACTAAAAGTTAATTATGTGTTCCCTGTTGGTAAATTTGGCTTTCCGTGTTGGTTGGTAAGCGGGTAACTTCTGCTAGTAAATCTACCGTTCTCTTATATTTGTCATCCCCATCAAAACGCAGTGATTTGCTATACGTTCATAACTTTTTAAGCCAAGCCAGAACAACAGCAGCCCGTTGGCAGACTTTCCTCACTCAATTTGTTACAGATTGAAATAATTTCGCATATTTAGCAGTACTTCACTGTGGCCCTTCAGGTTTTGTGACCAGTAGTAAAGTATCATGAAATGGCTATTTATGATGTCACACTTAGGAACTTCATTATTGCTGTTTCAGTATGACTAAAATAAAAACCAACATTTTGTGTGAACTTAAACATAATTAAAAAATCGAAATCATAAGCTCATTTTATGCTCAAATCACGAATTATTATCTTATAAAGATGATCAAACATAGATAATAAATAATTGCCTTATAGATTACAAAAAATTTGAAAAAATTCTTAATAAATACTCCGCAATTGCTTCAATTGGCGAGGAATATCTTGAAGTAAAGTGTCATGTTTCAAACAGCAATTGTTAAAGAACTTCAATGGGAGACTAACAAAATGGCAAAAAGAAATTTGTAAGTAGCTATGTTGTTTATAAGTAAATTTCTCAAAGGGTTTTTGCATTTAATAAAACGTCTTATCAACGCTTGCGCTACTTTAAGCGCCAATACAAAGCTTCCTTTTCTAATGAAGCGTCTTTAAAAGTAAAATCAGCAATACTCTATCTCCTTAATAATAAAACCTAAGTGTTTTTATAGGTGTACGTCTAAGAAAAAAAATGCTAGAGTATAAAAAAAAGTTATGACGAAGCAAAATGGACGTGATCTAAACAATCACGTGACAGACATATTCAATTTCTCCGGTAGTTTCCTTACCGAGCTATTGGGTCGATTTTAATGCGGTCTATTCACGGTTGTCATGAAATCTGTTTACCTGAACGGAGCTTGATATCATCTTTTAAGGTCAAACAACAAAGCATTTCACAACAATGCGGTATCAAAAATAATGGCAATACAGGACTCAAATCACCCTGCAATCCAAACATGACTGTATTTAGACTCCGTGAAGAAAACGACTTGCAATATTCTACTGCCGGGGGATGTGGCGTGTAACAGGGGTAGATTGGTTCCTAATTGCATGGTGGCTAGATTGGAAAACGTGGGCAAATATATGCATGAAAGTATAAAACTGAATTGGGAGTTTTGGGCAACAACCATCACAAACTAAAAGGAAAACGGAGGTGGTTATGTAGACTTTATGTCTGTTTGGTCGAAAAATCTTTTAATGGGAGTGGCTCCCTTGATAAAAGACGTTTTTTCTTGATACCAATCAACAACCCCCTTCCCGATCACCAACAACGCCTTTCTCCATCAGCAACGATCCACTGTTACCAATGCCTAGGCCTGTGAGTCAAATCTAACCACGGAAAACGGCCTTCTATATATCTGACGATATATATATACATGATGTCATCGTGGACGATATGGTTTCAGAATGACTTTAAAAAATGAAATAGACTAAACTGCATATAAATCTAAACGGGTGAAAGATCGTTCTGAAGCATCTTCTTTGAGTAATCGTGCACAGCATTGACGAAAACCTCAACATTGGCTGGGTCCACATCGGGGTAAATTCCGTGTCCCAAGTTGGCAATGTAGCGACTAGTGCCAAATTGACGTAGCATTTGCTTCACCAGACTCTTTATTTCTTTCTAAAACGAACAAATAGGAGATTGGTTATGACGCGATAGATAACCTCGCAGTCCACACGGTGAGTTGTTTATAAAGCGTTTAATATTACCTAGTGGTATCTAGTGGTAATTAAAGGCCAATGCAAACGATCTAACAATTGGTCTACCACCTGACCCGACTTTTGGTGCGACAACTGATGACTTGTGCCAGTTGTGCAAACGACCTGGCATTGCACATTACATTTGCACCTGACATTTGTGTCTAGGCAGGTATCAATTCATTTTGCACACGTTTTAATTGTCGGCCCAAAGTTACTCAAAGTAAACAAAGAATTAATCATCCAACAATGTCAGGCTGTTGTGAAAGCGAAGAAACTGACATCGTGTGCAAACAACCTGATATTGTACCCGACACGATGTAAGGCCAAATTTAAGATCGCTTGCAGGGGCCTTAAACCACTTTCTACTGTCAAACCCCTAGTCTACGAGATAGTGAAAGATGTCACAGACAGATTGTTGGAAAAACTGCTGTGAAGAGAACTCTAGTGAGGTGCATACATTGATTTGCACCTAAGTCACGCTGATTAGCATTGCACAACAGTAAATCTGACAATGCTGCGAATTTTCTAAAAACGATCAAATGTTTCTCTTTTTCAACGAAGATAATCTTGAGAACCATGCCACGAACTTCTTGCCTGCTACCTATCTGAATATGTACTTCTAGGCTGACAACAAAGCGACAGTGTCAGCCAAACTTCTTTTCTATTTGGCGCCAAACTTCTTTTCTAAAAGTCATCATAAAAATTCTCTATCGCGGGCGTAAACAAAATGTCCGCTTGAGTGGTGACAGTTATGAAGACAAAGCCTGATACAGCACCTTGATACAGGCACGTAAACTCTAGCAAAATGAGCTAAATATGGTTGCAAACAACGGAATAGATGGAAACAAACCTCGTCTGCATAGAGAGCACAAGGATCCAAGTTACCCATAAGTGTCTGACCAGGGGCTGTAATTCGAGCATCGTGTATGTTCATCGTCCAATCGAGGCCGATGATGTCATACTGGCTATGTGTCAAGTCGGACATCGCGAAATAAGCCCCTTTAGCAAATATAATCTATGATAAATATATTCATATTAGCATTTTGACATTTGAATCCTGCTTAAAACTCGGGAAAGCATTCAAAAGAGTTGAAGACAGCTTGAAAAGTTTGGAAAATAGTTTTGCTCTCAATGCTAGCCGAAACAAATATTTTCTAAGAGCCAAAGTACGATTATTAGAGCTTTGTCAAAGTCACCAAATCGTCAAAAGTTATCATCAAATGTAAGTTTCTTTGCAAACTAACAGCTCTACACTAATGGATGTAGAAAAACAGATCTATCATTAAATAATTAAATTAAGCGCGTGCATAAAATTAGGCAGAGTCCACAAAAAGAGGAAAATTGCATTGGTACAATGTAGAATTGCATAGGTTGAAGACCGCGGAGAAAGTTATTGAAACGTTGTCGATCACCACCTCAAGGTAACGCTTTGTTTCAAAATTTTGAAGACGTTATTGAATTTTTGGCACATTTGCGTGGTTGATAATCAAGACTTTCTGATTTGTGAAAGTTTTCTTTTCTTGGGGAGAAGTTTTTTCATACGACAAAGCAGTTACGTTTTGCTTTAGCATAGTATGAAGGATTTGAGGGGAAAATGTTTATGATCATACCATGGGGACAGCGTCGTCTCCGAGGATCTGCTTGACTCTTGTGGCAATTTGGTTCAAGTATGGAAGTGAATACAGTGAAAATAGCTTTGGAGGGAGGATATCAGCTAGCGATTCAAACACCTGCAGAGCCTATGGAAAGAAGAGTAATAGAAATACAAAATGTCATACATCAGCCGGAGATGCGTTAACATACAAAAAATGCAATGCAGTAAATCCATGTAGACAATCGTTAATCCTATTGTGATGTTTTATACAATTGCAAAAATTAGTGAAATGTGAAAAGCAACGGGAATAGAGGAATACTAAAACGATATTAAATATCGCTCAGCACATGACAACCATTTGTACTTGTATATAATTGTATTTGCTACCTACAATGCTTGCCAAAAGTACTAGGAACACCCAGCAATTTACGCTGCATTTGATATCTTTCGTTCCTTTCATGAAGAAAAAATTACTACTTCCGCCCCCTTCCCCCTAAAACAATGTTGATGATTTAGAGAAATATCATAAAAGAAGCGCAAAAGAAAGTGCTTCCTTAATTCCTAACCCATTTGATAGTAAACCAACATTGTTCTGTAGGGGAGAGGGGGATGATTGATTTTGACCTTGGAAATTTACGTCAATGTTCCAAGACTTTTGGCAAGCATTGTAGCACCCGAAGGTAGTTTAGGGACACTGAGAGGATGCTCTTATCGAGCAGTGCCCTGGTCCTTCCTCTCGATGTGACTACGGCTCGTGATTCCTACGCCTGAAATTACAGAGAGCTTGCATCTTTCCTCATTTTAAAATATGTGAGAGTCTGGTCATACCAGGGATTCCAACCACGGACCCTTAGATCTGTATTCAGCGGCTCTAGCCACTGAACTCTCCTCGCACATGATAAAAAAGCAGTGGTTGATTCAAAAAATAAAATACAAAATATAAATGAAGATAAAAATGTCCTATTTCTAGAAATCTCGCAGGTTTTTTAAAAGTTATTTGTTTGAGGGTGAAAATTACGAATGGTCTTTAGTTACGAAAGAAAATTACGCTTGGTCAAATGGGATCAAAAGCAGTTGTTTAACCTTAGTCACTTGTGATTGACAGTTTTAATTTGACCAATCAGTAATGAGCATTTGACACTAAACACAATTGGCAACCCAGCGTTCCCAGTTGATAACGGGTGTTTTCTGACAGTAAAATAGGGAGTCACTGGCACTGCCACTTTGCAGGGATATAAGCTTCACGGATATATTTTGCTGCAAGCTCCATACCGTTTATCTACGTACATTAAGAATCGCGAGGAAACTAGGGCTGTTAACGGATTGTTTCTTTTTGATTGCACTGCGGCTGATTTAACAAAATTACTAAACTGAAGGCACCCCAAAGCGTTTCAACTAAAATCAAGCTTTTTTTATCAAAAACATTGCAAGAACAAGATCTTAAACAGATTAAAACTACGATGCCTCCCAGAAATCCTTCGAGCACGGAAAAATCCTGTCTCGTTGTTTCGTCCTTATCCCCGATTACTATCATTTCACAACTGCCTATTCCCCATAAAAACAACATTGATACCTTAGGCAAAATTTATACAAGCCACAAATACCATGCAAGAAACATTTCACTTGGGGAAAAATATAAGAGCATGAATAGATGATTACGTCATTGGAAATTGACGTTGGTCTACTAACTACTAACACTAACACTTTCATTGTATACATGAAAAACAAAAATGCTTCCTTTACCTGAGCACCAGCTCGTACTTGTTCGACTAAATGGTCAACAACAACATCAGTTAGTTTCTGCAAAAGTCGGGAACTTTCTGTCTCGCTTTGATACAGCCATTTCTTAGCAGCAGACCACGTTTTGCTGCCAGACCCCTCGATCATATAGGCCATCAGCGTCCACTTAGATAAAAATTATTTGCCGTAAGTGTTAAGGGTAAGTATTTAGGTTAAGTAGTAAGTGCTACACAAGCAACTAAAATCCCTTTAATGTTTGGATAAGGGGAAAATTGAAGATATTTGCATAAAGGCATGTTTATAGAGGGAGTTGTACCCCATTGCTTCCTTCAATCCCTTCTCTTTCTATTTTTCACAAAAATTGTGTCCTTCCAATAATTATATTTACCCTAGAGTTTTGATAAAGGACTCAAATAAAACTCTTTCTTTCAACTTCATCTTTAAAAATCTATAATCTGTGGAATGTTTTCAGTGCTTAGACAATGTGGAGAAAAGATGAACATTCTGGCTTCTTTATGAAGAGTTTTGTGCCTACAACTATCCCAGTGAAATGAGAAACTAAAAAGCATTAATGTAACTAAAATACCAGGAGCAGAGGTGACCAAAAAGCAATATAAAATACTATACTAATATTTTCGTTGGGAAGCCACCATTCAGAGATTTGTAGCTCTTAGGAGGGGGGGGGGTATAAAGCACCATATATTCAAACAGGGATGTGCTTCTGCCTGAACAAGCAGAATCAAAATTACTATGATAATAGTATTGCATGACTTACTGGAGCACCAGCGAAACCTATGAGCGGCACTTTTCCTGCCAGTTTTATTCTTGTCAAGCTGATGGCATCATAAACATACTTTAACTCTTGCTTCACATCAACTTTGAAATCCAGATTCTGAAATGATGACAACACATGATTTAAAATTATTTAATATAATCTAAATACAAAGAATCGTGGTACAAATATGAACTATAATATTGATCATACAGAGATTTTCTGAAAGGTCAAATAACTTTGAACCAGCTATATGACTTCAAATCTTGTAGGGACAAATGATCTCCCACTTCTTTAGGCTTTACTATATTTATTGTGTTTTTAATAGACATAGGTACATATCTATATATACAAATATATATTCATAGTAATAAATTAGATATCAAAATATCAATAAATATTTTGTAAAGAACAATTATAAAGAAACATTGAACAACAACAACATTTTAAAGTAGCATGCTTTAAGAAGACCAAATTCTAGAGAATGACCCATGGTTGTGAGTCCAGAAGAATCTGAAGTTTAGCTCACTTCAAAAGTGAATAAGGGTATAGTTAGATAATGGAAATAAAAGTTGACAATGTTGATTTTAGTTATCTTTGTCTGATGAAAACCAAGAGTGACATCAAAGATTCTACAAAAGTTACACATGGGAAATGCAAAGCCATCACTTTCTGCTAGAAGAAGTCTTTGTGATTCTAAGGTATTTCAAAACATTGATATGATAACATAGATGACATAAAAATCACTGGATACCTTTAAATCATCTGTACTTTTCAGTGGTTGATCAAAAACAGGTCCCTGAAAGTTAGAAAAATATTCTTTAAACCATTAAAGATCAGATCAATGAAGTAGCACGAACCAAGGAAAACACAAAAGTGAATCAATGGAATCATAAAAAAGGATCAAGGAATCACAGGTGGATCAAGGAAATCATAGCAGTGGATTAAGGGAATCATAAAAGAGGATTAAGAGAATCATAGAAGTGGATCAAGGGAATCATAGAAGTGGACCAAGGAAATCATAAAAGAGGATTAAGAGAATCATAGAATTAGATAAAAGGAATCATAGAAGTGGATCAAGGGAATCAAAGAAATGGCCAAGGAATCACAGAAGTTGACAATATAAGTCAATCACAAAAGTTGTATTGCGGAGCTTCATTCTGCAAAATATCTGGTACTAACCTTTCCAGGGACCATTTGGACTTTCATACCTAAGGCCTAAAAAGATGATGACCATTAAACCAAAAACTTGCATTTTTGAAGAAACATGTTGAGAGAACTTAAATTTAGATTAATCTTTGATGATTTGTTCAAAAAGCACCGTATCTCATTGCAGGTTGAACAAAAGCACAGAGTTGTAAATAAATTTGCCCTTACTTTCAACCCTGGTCTTCTATCTTATAATGTGGCAAAACTAATTAAGTCTAGCAGGTTTTATTCACTTTTGTTTGACAAGTTTTGAATAAAAAAAAATATGCAACTACTCTACAGTTCAAATAAAAAATAAAATCCTTCAACATACCTGTGGAATGACCAGTATGTCTGAGAATATAATTGCAGCATCTAGGTCAAACCTATTGATAGGCTGAAAGAGGGTGAGAATACAGGGTTAACCAGGCTTTAGTAATTTCAAGATGAGCTACTTGTAAATAATATTGCCATGGTATTAGCCTCCATAAACTAATACAACTGCCCCGAAATTCCTTTGTCTGTTGTGGCCTGCATGACATAAATTTCTTTTGTTGAGCCATGATAGAAGAATGGTCAAACAGGAGTAAGGTATAAGTTTTTCATTTCTAATACTATGAGGGCCACTGTCAGTGGAAGCAACGGTGGACAGAGAAAAAACATTGCTGGAAATTGACTTTATGAATTTACAAAATTTAGCTGTACTTTTGCTAGCAATACCTTTGGATGGATAATTTGATTGACAAAATTAAGACACTGAATGTAAAGATCAACAGTCACAAAATAATTTGTTAGAACTAAAGGCAGTTGTAAAAGTTGCTTTGTATGAAACTTTTATTCTTTATGTTATGCAGGAATTTAAGCATCAAAAAATACTCTGTAGTGTCACAGGCAATATTCTCACATTATTTCTCTCGGTCGGTTTCTCTAATCAAATGATACATCTTACATTTTTGAGCTGCATTACTCTAAAGTAAATTGCTTGCTGTATCGTAACAGAATCTCATTCACAGGCCAAAAGCCTCCTGGTATTAGAAATAATGGGCTAATACCTTGGGGCCCTGTTACTGGGCAGCAAACCGCTGTATCAAAATAAGATTTCGCTCGAGTAGTTTGCCGCAGCCTTAATTCATTTGTATTTCGTAGGACCCATCCTTCGCCCAAAATTAGTTGGATGAATTACATTACCACAGGGTCATCAGTGTCTGGGGGGAGACAACAGGGGCCAGTGCCTACAAATGATTTTGAAAGATATGGTATTGCTAAAAGCTTTCTAAAACATTATACCAAAAAGGTCATTTTGCCCACCTCCTTAAATAAAAACATATAAGCTCCAACCTTGTTAAATAGCTTCAGGACCTTGAGTGAGGGCCTTCTTATGTCTTAATTTCAGAGGCTAATACCAATACTTTTCTGCTCCCAGCCCCCCTTGGATGGTACAGGGTGTTTATTTTTAATACAGTATAATCCGGTTATAACGTACTGTAAGGGACCAGCGTATAAGCATGCTATATCCAAAATACCTTGTAATGAGGGTAAGTAAAAGTTGACTAAAACCAAGCACACCTTTTGCCGGGACCAAGCACACCAGTACGTTATATCCGAAAGTACGTAATAACTGAGTACGTTATAACGGGATTCTACTGTAACTGTGCATTAACATCCATTGAACAAACTTTCATTACTTTCCCGCAATATACCAAACTTGGAGTGTGCAATATACTAAACCTTGGTGTAAATGATTCAACTTTTAAGGACTTCCTCTCTGATTACCAGAATACTCCTGCAGACTACTGGGATCTACTGTGATAATTGGTACATTTTGATTGACCTCTGTGATAAAACAAAATATGACCAAATTCAGGGCTGCCAAGAGCAAGACCCAGTCCCAGGGTACACAATGCATGTAGGCCCCTGGCTTTGCAACAAAAATAGATTCCATAATTATAGGTCATAGAATTGATCAAATCCACTATCACAGTTGACACTTATTTTATAAAAAGTAACTTGCCATAATCACAAAAGAGCAGGACATGTATCATTATCATGTAGCTAATGGGTATATTTTTGCATTTCCTCTCATTTTTCCATTAAAGTGAAAAATTATCAGGAGGAAGTAAGAGCATTAAAAACATTGAAAATTTATAGACAAGATGCTGGACAATATTCAGGGAAACATTGCTCTTAAGTAAGAATGCTTAATTCTAGATTTTTGTACAATATATCTAGGTTATCTATATTAAAATTACCTGCAATGTGACTTCACAGGCAAGTTCAGGTGTTTGGCAAATTGTGAAGAAGTCATGTTTTTCTTTCATAGCTCGAAACTCTGCAAAGGATAATAAAGGGTTTCAATCAACAAGCTGGAAATTATATATATTAACTAAATCTATGAAAAATCTAACAGCGGTTGAAGTCAACCTAAGCTAGTAACAACCCAGTGACAAGCAGAGAAGGGAATTTATTGTCTTATTCATAATAATTCTCACAGCTCTAAAGTTTGTGTGCATCACATCTTTGCCCTGCTATGTTATGTAACTTAAATATCAGTGTGTTTCCATCTTATCTAAACCTTATCTCAGGAAAAGCAATTTGGGCCTTTAGGGCACCAGCCCTTATCTTCCCTATGAAAGTGACAGGGGTTGTGGAAAACCTTTTTGATTACAGGAGAGGTGGGTGGTAAGGTAATGACTTTGTGAAAGGAACAGTGATATGGATTAACCACACTTCCCCATGAATTCACTTGAATTAGGTGTATGTTTATAAAGTTTATCTAAAAGCCTGTTTACATTGTGGCTTTGGCAGGTTAACCAATACTTTGTTCCTAATTTGTTCAGAGTATGGCTGAAAGTCAACAGCTGATGTCAAAGTTTATAATTTAGATACTCTACTTTTGAATAAATATCAAGCAATGCATACCACAACAAAAACTAAGTAAAACAGAATGGGGAAATCTGATCTTAAAGTAACAGGAGTAAAGATTTATCTAATTGCTATCTCAGTCATATAGGCCAACCAAATTACATTTATGATATTTTGAGCAACCATTTTCACCATCAAGAAAAACAACTTTCAACTTCATATTTTTATAAAGGAATTATCAAGGCTCTTTCTACTTTAAGCACATACATATATTGATTCTGCAATTATATTACCCAGCAATTAATGACATATTCAACTGAAACTCATTGTGTCCCAGCAAACAAGGGAAACTAAGATATATTCTTAATTCATTTCAATGTCACATTTTAAGTTCTTATGGCCGGTTAACTGAAAATAAAATTGTTGCTGAAGTTAAGAACTTTGTTAGGTAAAGAAGCAATGTTTTATCAATTTGGGCTTTTTTTGCTGATTGAAATTTTTTAATTTAAAGTCATTTATCCCTTCAAACAGTAAGAGTTTAATGTTAAACCAGCCAGAAGCATTTTACACTGCCAATATTATGGTAAGGCGGCATGAACTCTAAGCATCACATTGTGATTTGCTGGGGAAAATCTACTTAATTGTAACCTAAGTTGGCATTCGTGCAATATCATCTATAAGATCTAAGTAATCTTATTCAAATTTTAAAAAAGCCACATTTGAAAACTTTTTAAAAACGATTAAAGTGCAACGGTGTCTTGATTTTAAACAACAAACTCAAAACCATATACCAAATGAGTGTGATTAAAGAACCTAATATTTCACTCCAATTTTCCATACTGATTTGGCACCTTTGTTAAACAATTTGAAATTCTTCACAGAAATTTTTCGTCACGGCAATAATCTTCCACTTTTAGATCCATATTAGCGACGTCGTGTATTTTTTAAATCCAGAAAAACAAGTTGATAGCTGTCTTTGACACGGCTTCTCAAAAGCTAAAAACGAATATCTTTTCGGAAAATATCAAACAGATTTTTTAATATTTTCCATAGCAAGAAACTTGGTGGCCTAACTTTGCAGCAAAAAATCAAGAAGACATACCAGGTAAATATCGCCCTGCCTGTCTCATTATCCATACAGGAACACGCTCTACGGTCTCCCCTTTAGCGGCTTTTATCAATAAGTCATTTTTGAGATCAGGAAAAAGTTTTCCAGTGGAATTTCCCTCGACAGAAGCATCTATGACTGGCGCCATTATTGAAGTCAGCTGTGAAAGAATTTTTAAAGGGACTTTCTACTTTAGTGAAGGCTGCGCAGCACTTGACTCACGACGACCACATGTTGTGCTTCTAAGTCACGTGACTGGCCATGTGATAATTCATTCAAGTTGACTTCATAAGCGAGAAAACTGTTTTGAAAGTGCCACGGTCTCAAATTTGCATTTTTTCTGATTAATGATCAATTGTTCGCAAACGAACGTTTAGAAAAGAATTGACAACCCACGGAAGCAGTAGGGGGGGGGGCAGGGGGCCGTGGCCACCCCTGAATATGGGCGCAATTGGAGGTAAGGGGGCGCCAAAATTGTTTGCTTGTAAATACTGGCTAGGAACATCAAAATTGATCGTACACGGGTACAACACTTCGCAGTAACTTGTTGTGAACAATCTAATAACAAGTGCGATTCTACAATCGAAGCACGTTGTTGCGTTGCCATGACCCAATCAACATTTGTGACATATTGCTCCTTGTTGTAGATTTCCTAGCTGCAGCTTCGAAGCCTGCTCTGAACATCGAGGAGGCGAAGGAAATAAGAAAGCGGAAGTAGGTTGTTAAGTTGTTGGTTTTGAATGAAGTGAAGAAAAAGTACATTAAGTTGGAGGTACCGAAAATTAATCCCACCGAATTTTTGGAAACCGAATTTTTTTGTTATCGAATTTAGGCTTGCTGACAACGCTAAAAAAACTCGTTTTGCACCGATTGACTTGCAAACTAACAAACTTAATATTTTTATGCATCTAATACATATCTTTTTTCAGTTTTTGGTTCTCCTTCATCATCAACATATAAGGTATCCAGCCCATCTTAACTATCTTCTCTTTCGCCCTCTACATTCAAGAAATTTGAGTCCTCTATTGGCTGAGCTGGTGCTTCTTTGGTCTTTTCATAATTTATCTTAATTATTTCTTTCTAACGTTCTAGCAGTTTCAATTTCAACGCCTCGATTTTCAACCCTAAGTTGATCAGAATTTCTAAACCTCTCCTTGAATTGAACCGTCGATTTGTCTATTCTGAGCGGTACAGAATTTTGTTAAATTTTAGTCTGGGAGATACATTTTAAGCCATTTTAGAAGGCTTGATATCAAAAAAAATTTTGCGCGTCGGACCCAACCATGTCCTCCTATATCCTAAACTTGATTCTTAGCCCCCCAGATTCAATTTCGATATAATCGCCAACAAGCAGTGCCCTAAATGGACTAAAGTTATCTTTGGTTAGAAAAACTAGGGAGCCTCGAAGAGAAATGTTATTTACTCTGAAGCTGGTATTCTGGATATATTAAACGAGTTCAAGAGGCCGCCATCCTGTATGAAACATCAATGTAAATTAATAATGTCTTTTGATTAGTATTTTATCTTTGCCTATCATATTTCCGCGAAAATAGGCCAGTTTGGCTGGATACTTTAGCCAGTGGCGTAGCGTGACTTTTTCAACTGGGTATTCTCTATTAAACAAAAGGGTGGGGCAGGGTGTGGTTCGATGGGGCTTGATGAGAATAGGGGGATAATAGGAAGATTAAAAGGACTAGCTATTGACATTTTATCTAATTTTCTTTTTGGTTCGGTTGGCAAGTACTGCACTGTCAGGGCATTACTATGATGAAAACGATACTTTGCTAAAGGACCCTTCAAATATACTCTTCGAACTCATTCGTTGCATCAAATTACCACTAACCATTTCATCAAAAGTAATTCAAATCAAAACATATCATTGAAAGCCAGTAAAATTTTACTGGTCGAAATATGTCCCAATAGTTGTTGTTGAATCGTCTAACATTTGCACTGATGATGTAAAGAGGAAGTAACTGTAAACACCTTCTCTTGATACCTTAATACAAAAGGGCTTTCGAAAGTTTCACAATTATTCACATAGGGCATTACATGAGTTATAAATGATATTGTGGTATGCAGTATAGACTTTTTCTTCATGGCCTAATCGCGATATTTTCAATACAAGTTAATATTTGAAAGAATCGAAGGTAATGAGATGAGACTGCACATAAATGCGCTCGAATAATGCAAACAAAATAGGCCAACAAGATAACTGAATACACCAGGCAACTATAAGGATATTATCCAGGCCTATCTGCATTTACTTTAATTCTATCACATAATACAAACAGAAACATCCTTGATTGGCAAGCAATAACAAATTGGCATTTCAAGAGGGAACAGATCTGAGTCAGTGTAGTATTATGTAGCAGCCTACCTTTCCTTTCCACTTTGCTGTTGGTAGATTAAGTTTAGTGGTCAAATGAGAGAATGATTATGAAACAGTAATACGGACATTGCAATAGTTTTTTAATTAAGTCATGTTTACTGTTTTCGATGCAGCTCCATCACTCCAACCGCTCCGACGTTCATTAACTGTTTATATCGATCTCATAACGAGACTATTTTGAACCAACTTTGAGACTGTACGCTGCATATTTCTCAGCGTACAGAGCTGATTAACGGCAAATATTATTCATGGAAAGGAGCATTTTGATTGGTCAAAGTACGGGCTAGGGTATTCACTGCGTATTCATGACCGATCTCCATACAACATGAAGTAGCTCAATCTTCAAAATTAGCTTCAAAGATCTCCCAGCTTCTCTATGCTTCGCAGCGTTATTGTTTCCATGAATTTGATGATATTTTGTACTTGTACAAAATGTAGAATATCGGAGGTAACGAATTCAAACAGAATCAATAGCCGCAAAACATTTTTTACCTATTACAATTATACGTCGTATTAATATTTTTTCTGAGAAATCTCAGGGTATTCACTGAATACCTTGAATACCCGGACGCTACGCCACTGACTTTAGCGAGCCACGATCGAGAAGGTCATCTTAACTTTTGTACTGATTACATAATGTTTTCCATTGATACTCGAATTTTTAGTCAAAACCTATTCATGAAATTTTGAATTCAAGTTGCAAAACACATGCTTTTATATAACTACGACTTATAGATAGGGCGCAAAAATCATCTTGGCCACCCCAGGGAAAACATAGCCACCCCGCCACTGCTAAGAAGAACGACGGATCTGAACTCTTCACGGAACTCTCGACGCTCATCTCAGACGTTGGCGGCAGAGACAGAAAGGAGATAGAAGGAAAGAAATTCAAGAACAATCAAGTAACATTTAATCGTTTAGTTGTGTCTTACGTAGAGCTCTATATTTATCTATATCTATCCATATAATTCTTTTGCGTAATATTCATTATATACAGTCCTCTTTTAGAACAGTTTTCGTACCTTCATCAGGAAATTCTAACTCTGCTACCCTAAGCAGAAATGCGACCAGAATTTCCCTACCTAGTCTAGATACTTGAACCTAAGCAGGGATAAGATCTTAAGTAGAAAAGCAACAGGAACAGACAAAAAGCCAAGAGGGGTCACGTGGGGCATTGTCAACCCAACTGGAATTTCTTCCCCTCTGTGCCCATCCTAAACTTTTTGGCTCAAAATATATTTTTGACTAAACTTTTCTGCTGACGAGTATTATCCTGGCTGGTAACATTTGAACAGAAATCGAAGACTACTATGATGACTTTTTCCTCCTGGAGACAAGTAAGTAATATGAACGAACAAATTTCTTCATTTGTCATTCAAAGTGTTTGCTCATTCATCTGTCATTCAAAGTGTTTGCTCTTTGTTGAGCCTTATGATATGTGGGTTCTTCAACATGCTGGGTCAAAAAACAAGTTCTAACACACTCCATAAAAACTGATGCAGGATGATTGATATCTGATGATGTTGTATGGTGCACTGGTCAATATAAACTAGTCAGGGCAAATGCACTGGTGCCCTAACTCGTTTTGGTTAGACTTCACAGACAGCGATGATATCAAGATTCTGACTATCAACAACAATGGCAAGTTCATCCAGCTTATTTCATATAAGAATCAGTGTATAAACAATGTAACCCAACTTCTTACACTCCTTAGTGTTCTTATCAAAAGCAACCTTTGTGCTGTTTCCATCAAAACATTTTCTTCTTGAGTCTCCAGAGGAAACTGTTTAGATGGAAACAGAACAAAGGTGTGCCTTACCCTGTGCTCTCTTTGTTGCTTATTGGCTCTTTCCTTTTGATGCATTCTTTCGTTTCTCTTTCTTGTTCAGCATATCCTATAACTCCTTCCTTTGTATGGGGGTCAAGTCCCTCGTGACAAAAACTTTTGTTAGTTTCTCTTTGCTGCTCTATGATAAGTTTTTTGAATTACCAACCAGTTTTTGTTTTAATTCTTCATTGTTGAGTTCAACTTTCAGAGGCCTTGGTTTGGTTGCATCTGTTGTTCAAGGTCTAATCCTGACTGATTTCACAACTCTGATAGTTTTGGCAACCCCTAACTTTTTACAAATGTCTTTCACGAATTTTAAATTATGCTCCTTTCTCCTATTTACATCATCAGATGAGCTTTCCTTAACATTAAACATCATTACATTATTCTTTCTTTTTCCCCTTCAGTGATTTCGTTGGTAACATTCCTTATGAGCAGTTTCATGGCATCTTCTATTACATACTTGAATTCTGCTTTGATGTTTGATTCCATGTTACTTTGAACTTCATCAGCAATTTTTCCAGTGACATCTTGTTTAAGCACATCTTGCTCTTAATAAAATACGATCAACCTTGAATTCAAGTTGCCTATGCTTTCTTTGAAGCAGCACCAAGCACCGTTTATCTTCTTAGAGGCTCTACTGCAACCCTTACAATGCCAACTGATATCATCATTTCCCTCTTCGTGAAGGAAACTATACTTGCTTTTGCTAACATTTTCACAATGAATATTATACCACGTATCACATATGTCACAGTATAACGCTTCATCGTCATCTTTAACCAGTACTGAACATGATCCAGTCTAGATTTTCCTCCTCAGTGCTCCCGCCATCTTTGATACTAGGCCTACTATGATACTTGAAAGAGAGTTTTCAAGCCTTTGACTCCCACGATATCCTAGATATGCTGATATGCTTCAGCATGCGTTGAATGCTTGTCTTCAGCACTGAGCAAGGCATATGCTCCC